TGTCTTGCATTTCTCAGCGGGAGTGAGTGTGCAGGCGTCCGCTAAGTCCTCGAAGAGTTCAAAAAACTCCAGTAATTCCGAAGTCTCGCCATTAAATGACGGGGCTTTAGTGGAGTTGGCGCCTGGCATGGCGTTAATGCCTCTGGATGCGTTGGACATTTTGGCCGGAGCTTGAGATGCGGGAAGATGATGTGCAAAGGGATTTGGTAAAAGGAGGAGGTGCCGCAAGGATTAAATTTTGTGTCGGGACTGTTTGCACTGGAGCCGTAGAAACTGGGACTTGGCTGTTAGGGAGTGTGGAGGGTTTGAGAGTAGGTGTGTTGGGAGGGGGTTGCTGGTACGCGAAGGAAGTCTGGGGGAGGTATAGGGGGAAGTGATTTCGCAGGGGGGCAGTCTCGTAGGTATCAGGAAGAGTGGGAGTTTCGGGCTCGAAGACAGCTGGTCTAAGGGTGAACGTTGGCTGAGGGATAATGGGGAAAGGGGGTTCGTGTTAGGGGAGGGTCCTATAGTCTCGTCGTCTGAAAGAGAGGACTCGGATGGTCCTTCGGAGGTGTCTATACTTGATTGTACTGATTTGTGACGGACCGGCGTGCGGGGGGGTGCAAGAAAGGATGGTTGCGTCAACGATAAGGTGGACGGGGAGTCGACCGTGTTTGCGCGAGTTCGGCTCTTCTTTGGAGCCAGCGCAAGTGGCTGCTTCTTGAGCTGTAGCTGCACGTTAGGATGGTAGTACTTTGAGATAATTATTGCAAGAATGGTCCAAAGACCGGGTATTGAACGAGTCAGACTAGAAGATCTGTAGAGATCCGCGAATCTGATTCGTAATGCAAGGGGGTGTTAAGACAGATCCCCTCGCGGTGGGCTCCAAAATATGTAAGGGCTATCTGCGAGTTTCGACGGGGATCGTCGAAGTAAACCGATAGTAGAAGGGATCGAATATAATGAAAGACTTTTCTAATGAGAGTGCTGAGGCTTCTGACGAGAGGACGTTTCGGACGGAATGCGCGCGTGAATCTAGCGGGGGAGCAAAGACTAATCATAATGAGCGTACATGCGTGTATTTAAGTTGTGAAAATAGGGTAAGGGTCCTTGCTGTAAACGAAAAGAATGATTTGGTGAGACGGAGAGTGGTGGCGTTGAGCCTAACAGGGTGAAACATCGATAATAAAATGGAGTACGAGAAGTTTTTGAATGGTTGGTGGTAATGGTGTAGTACGTTGAGCACCTGAATGACGAGAATTTCGTATTGGTTTTGGCTGTTTTCGGTGTGTCAAGGGAGGGATTATGAGAATAGTGACGAAAGAAGGTTTATAGATGTCTGGGTATCGTGTAAGGAAGGCGGGAGAGCGAGCTGGTTGTCGACGACAGTGAGATAATGATAGTAAGAGACGAAGGATGTAACCTCGGAACTCGGATGCGAATGTGACGCTTGTTCGCATCCGTGAGTCACGTGGTTGGTTTGGACTTTCGTCCGAACGCTTGGTTTTGAAGCGCTGGTCGGGGCACAAAGGATATGTGATCCTTACAGCACAATTGCCTGTCCGCACCTTCGTCTAGTACATTAAGTAGTCAAAACTAATGTTGATATTACGTCTTCAGAAGAATAAATATTATACACAATCATGTTTCACTGCCGCATGATATCGATATCTGACGACGTTATAGCTGGAGACTGGAGTTGTGATGTGCACGAAGGCCCCTAGTTCAAATTGTGATGTGATGAGTCAGCAGCTTTACAATTCAACAAAGGTAAACATTTGAAACAAACGGTGATGTCATACAGACATCCGTCCATCCGTTACATCCGAACATGCCGCAGCGACTTTATATACTGGCCTCGATGTTGATCAAATCAATACTTCTCACAGGCTAACATGTTATCCACTACAACCACAAGCCCCTCGGTATCCCACTTCGACCTCTTGTCGCTCTATCATGCGCTTTGGCAGCAGCAGGATCACTCTGTCGTGAGGCGGTCGTCATGCAAGGTTGTGGATCTGGAGGAGAAAGAACAGTGAGTCTATTTTCTTATTACAGGAGATCTGAAATGATACTAAGGGTCCAAAACAGGACACATCCATTCAACTTCGACACCATCGATCTATCTGGACACCCTGGTGCCAAGTTACCAAACGGAGCGACCTCAATGATAATTCGCCCGGCGTATGAGACATTGTTTCACGAGATCTCTACGAATGAGCGCAATATCGTCGTTCATGGGTCCGCTGGTATCGGTAAGCCGGTGTCCTTCCGTAATTTTCGTTACTTGATATAGCCGATTACCCTCAGGGAAGACATACTTTTTGCTATTCGCCCTCGTCAGGCGACTTCTTGCGCGCCAGCCAGTCACATATCAGATAGACCAGTCGGACTCGAGCGTCTTATGTTTCACCGCCAACGGCTTCTTTGCTCTCCCGGAGGAGAACAGCGAATATCACCCTCTGTTCGACCGTGAAGATGTCTTACACCTAATCGACAGCACACAGGAAGACAGTGTCACGCATTCGAACACAGATCACACTCGTGCTTTGATGCGGGGAATTCGCAGCAAGGCCATTTTCACCACATTCTGGCCAGACAGTCTGGGTCACGACATCGGATGGTTGTCTGAATACGATGTCGCACTTAGGAAGTGGATGAAACCGTGCACTTTCGACGAGATATTTGCGATGAGGTAGGTTAATTCATGACATATTAGTCTTCGCTGACCATTGTCGTTAGCACTTTGACCCTCGACCAGCATAAAGCCAAGTCTTTACGATGGTCGTACATCCATTTTGGGTCGAACGCACATGCTTGCCTGCAAGTATCTCGTGATGTCAGCGATGCCGATCATTATCTCAAGGAGCTTGAACGCGCTCATGATAATTTGTGGAGCATCCGACCTGCATTGCGCGAATCCGAAGCCCGTTACAGCCGTAACCTCTTCGCTGTCGAACCTGGAAACGCTTGTGCAGATCCACTGTCGTTCCCCATATCGCAAGTCGTTACCAGACTTTTTGCGGGCGAGATCACCTCTGTGGACTCTGCCGGCGCTAAGGAGACTGCTGATGTCCTCCTTAACTCAGAGGACACGAAAGAAGCGGGCGAGATCTTCTACCGTCATGCTGTCGTGGCACTCATGTCCAGATCCGGTGGGACTTTTACTCTCGGACGTCCTGATTTGCGGGGCCATTACCATCCGGCACACGAAGAGCTTGTGCTGCAGCAAAACACGCACATGACAAACGAGGAACAGCGGGCTATGCACCCGAACTTTATATACTCCACCCGACGGGAACTCGCGACGTTGGCGGAATACTGCCCGCAACTCCTGCATACGCCACAACATGCGCTCGTGCATCCAGGCATTGATGCGGTCATGTTCGATGCCAGCAGCATGTCAGTGTGGCTCGTGCAGGTAACGCACGGTTCCCCTCGCCCAGTTTCCCCTGAGGGTCTTCTCTTCCTACTGGACGTCGTACGGAAAACCCCTTACGAACCGTCTCCTACGCACCCTTGGAAATTTGTCTATGCGATAAGGGGACAACCCACCAATATTTTCTTCCGCCTCAGCGGGAAGGAAAGAACGCAGCACTTTTCGATGAACTTCTGGATGCCACGCATCAAACCATATGTGATGCAACTGCGCGATACACATCTAAACGTCCATCCTTCGGGCAACCCCTATGAGCAATGGGGTTTTCCTTACAAAGTTCTGCAGAAAAGCTCGCCGAGTCTTCTGCGGCACCTTGCGAATTCGATGACGCACCTCGTCCCAAAGTGTCGGTGCACAACCAAATCTGGCACTACTCAGGACACGTTCACTTCAGACATTAATGGTACGATTATACAGGAGTCGGGGGTGCCAGGAGCTCAGTTACTTGGAGAGATTGTGAAAGAACAAGATCCAGGCCCGGTCGACCACTATTTACGGGATAATGAGGAGACGAATAGTTGGAGGGGGCGATTCGCAAAGGTGTTTCGATGAGTTCTTTATAATTGTACAAGTGTCCGTGGTTGATGCTATATCCAATATCTAATTTGCTACATCCTTGTTGTGAGTCTAATTTCACCGGCTGCATCAGTCAAGTGCAGGTGATGTTCATGCGTGGCCCGTACATGTACTTGGGAATATTGGTCTACTGAAAATACTGTTTTCTTCCCATGACAACTCAACGAAGCACCATACGAGAGCACTATTTTCCCACTGATTGTGGACCTAGAACTGCGGTGAAAGTATTACTGCATGGGTTATCCGTGTTTGATGATAGAGTCCTCGTTCTTAGCACTTTTAACTCCAGCCTCTAGAATGCGTTATGCCCAACTACCCGTGAGGGACGAGAGTCGGTGCTATTGCGCAAGCTTATGATATAAGACTACAAAATTGGGTCATAAGTACTTCAGTCATATGTATTCAACTGTTCCTCTATTTCAAAAACTCCATTGCTCGAGCGACGGTGAAATTTGTTCAGAAGCAAGCACCATTATCAACTCTGCAACAAACTACTCATGCATCGTGGCATCAATCATACTACATCGATGCGAAAGCAGAAACACGACTCACTGCGATCCACTGTCGCGACATACTACTCACAATAATCGACGACTGCATTCTACCGCGTCGGTGAGTCATGTGCATACATCCAGGATGTAAATTGCTGATACTCACAAGCGCTTGGACGAATGTCGGCGTGCAGGTCTGACCAGCACAGCAACTGACTTCGTTGCAAAGATTGTGACATGTGTCAGTGGCAGATACTGTTGCAATCAGAGCAGTAACAACGGCGAGAACGAAGGAGAAATGCATCTTTTGTGAGGCCGTGATATGGTATGAAAGAAATTTGAAGGGGACTGTAGAACAACGGCTTGCTTTTATATGCTGAAATCTATTCCGGCAGAACTTCATAGCAGTGTAGGATCCCCTTTCCGATAGATGTTGACTGCATTGCCAGCAGAGTTCACACGCATCAATTAGAACTCTGATATTCAATGGGCGGGCTCAAATAATGCGGATATTGAACATAAAATACCATAGAGAAGTCCTAGTCATGCCGCGATGTCGCCGTTCATTTAGGTCGAATTCGAATTTGCAAGACATTATTTTCTTGACCTTTTTTACAAACTCCAAATCTGTAGGCCTACAGTTCAGCTTTGTTTAGCTGTGGAGTCGCTGGCATGTCTTCACATGTTGCGCTGGGCCGAGCATTAGATTGGGGTGGTACGCGAGCAGGTGGAGCTGCCGGTTGACGGTTTCTGCTGATATGATAACATTTTGGTGAAGCAAGAGGAACAAAAACTACGGTGCGTGCATTGACAATTGTAGGAAATTATGATAAGGGGGAGTGGCAGGCGGGTCTTGAGAGAGTCGAGGAGATGCGAAGTACAATGAGTGCGAAGGAACGAGATCGAGGAACCGCTGGACTCCTGCCATGCCGGCATATTCCGGCAGGCTATAATTTCAAATTTGATTTATGAATCCGCTGCACGTGGAAGTGATACTACTCTTACATTTACGCTCAACATTATTTCCAAGATTCTGAAGCGCGCATTCCTCTCCCAGCTTCCGATGTCGATGATTTCAACGACAGAATTTTGCATAAGTTGCCGCGCGATTTTTCGTAAGAATCACAAAACATATACCATCGACCACGAATTCTATTCCCAGGACAACATAGAATTTTATTTCATTCATCCAAACAGTCTGTCAGTAAACCAAAGGCAGTTTCCTTTACGAACTGTGCATGCAACTACATTCAATGGTAGTCAAGGATTTTATCGATTAACGCTGGCACGGACCGTGCTTGACCTGTGAATGGATCCCTTTGCTCACGGTTGACGAGCAAGAACGCATTTATTAACGAAGGACACGACTCACAGTGCTATTTCCTGAAATTTGTAGTCTCGTTCCCAACGTTCTTGTGAACACAATTCCCGTGCTCTCATCGACCAATTTGTGGGTGTTGCAGTCCAAAAATGTCGTTTTATTCATACGGTCATGTGAGATTCTTTCTAACTTCCAAGTCTTAGTCATTATCTTGCTTAGTTGTCGACTACTACTAGTATGTCTTCTATTTATCACCAAGTCCTCAATTGGGTCCTTTGCAGATGTTCCCGCTGTTATCCGTGTCAACGGTGCGAGTCCTGATTCTACCGTGTCCTTATCCTTTCTGCACAATTGCAATGTGCCACGTTCTATCTCCAATCACTATGGCGTGGCTGTGGAGTCGAGTTCTGGTCCGGTGTGCGTTCCTATTGTCGACGGATGGTATAATTCCCGACAAACTTTTCGCTCCGTCTATTTGAAAGGGTGCGACATTGAGCTTGGTCTTGATTGGCTCGCATTCGTAATTGCGAGGTTTGATGATTCTCGATTTCTTCGGCCTTCGAAGACAGATCTATTGCAGCTTTGTGCCGGTCATACTTGGAATTTTCAACCTAGAGGTACGTGGGCTCGTACGTATCATTTTAAATATGGCTGAATGATCGTTTGTGGACGATTTGTCCTCTTTTTCTTCTGCCATCCAAGTGGAATCATGTTTAGCTACCCAAGCGGGTTCATCGTCTGTTACTCAAGCGGGTTTATCTTTATTATCTTCATCACGTTCGTATCCACTGCAGTACAATGATCATGTTGTAGACAGGTTTTTTGATGGCTGTGAAACATTATGAAGAGCTGATCAATCCAACATCACGCCTACTAATCTCGCATTAGACATTCCAACAGAAGTACAAGCGATCAAAATCCTTGATCCCTCCGACGAGCCTGTCGAAGAATGGTCTATCCCAATTCTTTCCTCGATCTCGACAGACATGTCGAACGGCAATTCAGCGATCGCAAGCTTCTCTACGTTTGATATCGCTATGGATGATCAGCCCTACGAGGAAGTAAAAGCATGCAAAGGGAGGGAAAGGCAAAGAAAAAATGGATTGATTTCTGTTTCAGCAGCGCCATGTACTTGTACCGATGAATCGTGTCTCGTCTGACTGACAAAAGGACTCGTTCGATGCTAATTAGGTGTATTTGTAACAACCTGCACATTACCTTATGTTTTGATAGCAGCTTGTCATAAATTTGAATTCAAACGACCGTAGCGGGCTCTGCCGCGAGCGGCCTTTCGCGTTATTTGTCGTCGAAAGAGCAGACCGAAGGAGTGTCTTTGTACATAATATACACGAGTTCATGTATTGCAAATAGGATCCCTGGCGGGCATCGAAGCTTGAAGATTTTGCCCGACTTTACGCAAATGCTAGCCACCCTTCTTTCCGTTGGCTTCTCCGGCTACTCGACGCTCTCTTCTCCGCTTAACATCCCAATTATAAACTCTAGCAGTGTTGACTTCCATCACCGTCAGCTGCTCTCGCAGAAATTCCAAGTCTTCGATCGTAGCTTTTAAGCTAGCCTCTGCAAGATCCAATTTGGACCGCAGGAGCGATGCAGCCTCCGACAACTTGTACGATAGCATAACATTCGCCTTATACGAAATATGAGATACCATCGGGAAACTCACGAAGGACACTAAACTCACCCCTAGCCATAGATAGACAGTGTCGGTATCCTCAAGTTCTGCTTCCGCAAAGAGCGTGTCATTTAATTCGAACGTTGTGGTAAGCGGCTTTTTGGGATTGTCGGAGAATTCCTCGTCACTGAGATCATCCTCCAAATCGTCGTTCTTGTTCTTGCCTTCCTGCATGATTGTCAGATAATGTCGACGTACATCTTCGCAGTGATGGACTCACTCTTCTCTCTTGCAGGAACTCCACCATATGTAATGTCTTTCTGATGTCAGGTATCTTGTCTTCCAGACCTTTTCTTCGTTGTGTTAGGTTGGCATCCATATATCGGTACTTCCTGGACTTCCTTAGGTTCAAGATCATCATACAGTATATATAAGCTCAAACATACGCGATAGCATCCTGGAAATTCTTCAGGGGAGTCTCGACCGCGCCATCTGGGCCTCCCAGATATTCTTCGACGTTTGCCTACATGATTAAGCATGAGCAGAAGACCATTGATCTAGTTTTTCTGATACGCACGATGAATGGAGCTTTTGGAATACCCCGTGGATTTTTCTCCTCTTGAAATACCGACTTAGCAGACATGATTGTAGAGACTGCAGTCTTGAAATCTCGTCTATGTCACGGTTTATGCAATCAGTTACTACATCCGGTCGGAGTTGGAATTAGAGTCTTTTAAGATTTTTCTTCTCCGTTTGATTATAAAAAAACTACCCGCATACCTTTAGAACGCACTTAGCACAACAGGGTGCTCCTTCTTGTGGGGCTATCACAGATGTGAAAATATTACTCAAGCAAGGCGGCACATCGCGTCGATTCAATTTCGTTGACTTCAAGGTCTGTCATCGCGACACGTGTTTACAAGGCGGACAAGAATGGTAAGACAAGTGCAGACGTCTCGATTATTTCTTCAACATCTCGCATTCTCATGTACGAGATGGGGCTATCTCAGCTATTCGGAGAAGTTCTACAGGTGAGTATCCCATAGTCCTGTCGTGTGTTCTCCACATCTTTCGCTTTTTCTTGATGATAAACACTTAGGGACATCTGATCCTCCAGGGATATGCTGATTCCCGGGAACCAATAGTAGAAAATTTATCTGACTTTTATCCCATTTTATAATTTGTGTGTTGCCAATCACTTCGCTAACTCATCACATCCTACCAGATTCTTATGTTCATCGACTCCTTGTCTAACGAGAAGTCGAAGGGTCCAGCCTATGTGACCTCCAAGCAGCCGACGTCTGCCCTCTCAGCATATGAGGTGCTGAACAAGACTTCTTTCTAACGACGTCTTCTCCATAAAGGCAGGTTCGATCTAGAAGAGGGCGAGGTTGAAAATAAAACGTTTAAAGAGCAGTTCTTCGCGTAAAGCTGCAGCTGGATGGGAGTTCAATTGGAGTATATCGTACATGAATGTTCGTCAAGCCTTTGATGTTATGCACTATATGTTTTGAGATCTTATACTCTGCATGTGCATAGCAATGCAGTGGCATCATCGTCTAATGCCAATCGGATGTGAAATGTGACGATATTCTGAAATCCAAGTCAGATAATGCACGAGTCAAGCTTGCAGCTGTAGAGATACGTTATCCAGAGGACGAAGCCGTACCTCAAATTACAACGGGTCGTCCTATCGTCATTTTCTTTCCGAGCACGGACTGATGCGATACTCGTGAAGGAACAGATATGTGAGATGTTCATGGTACCACCGGCATGTACCATGACGGTAGTAGAATTCGATCAGGCAGATGAAACAGCCAAATGAGAGTGCTACGTAGGCGGTACGGCAAAATTCCCACCATCTCAAAAACGCAAATGGTTACGAGTCTAAGTCCTAGGCCAGTATGAACACATGGTCTTCTACATGACCCCTAACTAATCATATGGAAGTTCGTATCAGCCAAGCGGAGATACGTCGACCTTTAGATTGATATCGGCGCTGACAGGTCACAGGTCGTACGGCTTCAACTTTGATACCCACTATGACATTTCACTGTGATCCTCTGTAGTTTGACTCTGCCATCTGCCGGAAAAAACTAGTCTGGCAGAACCGGCTAGCAGAATAGTGGACTTCTCCCCACAACACAGCGTATATGCTCATATGATTTGATTTCTATCGATTAATGGAGATCATCTAGATTGTTTTTCCTATCTAATTGAAGACTTTCATCCCTGTAGATATGATCCGGACGATTAGACTCGTAACCATTCTGCCTACGTGCGTTTTTGAGATGGTGGGAATTTTGTCTTGCCACTCGAGCATCTGTGGGAGCCTATGCCACTCGAGCATCCGTAGTAGTATACGCCAGCTGCAGGCTGGTCACGAGCCTACAGGACGATGCCTCTGGCAAATTTGTACAACCTTACGTGATCCGAGTTTTCGTGATCATACCAAGGCTTTGGCGACAGCCTGTGTAAGAGCAGGCCAAATTTGAGCTCTGTTGGCAACGCAGTCAACATCTATTGGAAAGTGGATCCTGCATTGCTATGAAGTTCTGCCGGAACAGATTTCAGCACAGTGAAGCTGCTGAAGCAGCTTCGAAAACTAGATGCATTGGTGGATCTGAGGGTTGACTCATGGATCTATGACTGAGTGAAGTATCTATCGATACATACACATATGCTGTCTTATTTTAGTGACATCCACCACGAAAATGAGGCGTAGACTGTGTACATTGTAGTCTTCAGTGAATCTGCTAAACACATTTGTTCGATAGCAATTTTGCGCCCTGGCATGATGATACGCACTGCCTGGGTGGTCGTCACTCCAATGGTTATATATATTGCATAACTATATAGATTAGACTGAATCGTAGTCTACAATCCATCACGATAGCCGAATAAGCGGATTGCTTGTACACGATTGGGATCTGGTGATCAGGTGCGAGAGGACGAGACGGGAAGAACGAGATATATAAGAGAATGTATATGTACAGCGAGTCGTGTTTCTGCTTTCGCATCGGTGTAGTATCATTGATGTCACGATACTTGAGTAGTTCGTTGAGGAATAGATCATAATACTTTTGAACAAATTATGTAGTTCAACTCTGCCATCTGCCAGGCAGAACCAGTTTGGCAGAACCGGCTGGCAGAATGGCGGACTTTTCCCCACAACACTCGCGGCATAGCGTATATGTTCATATCTATCAATCAAAGGTAACCATCTAAATTGTAAGTAAATGTTTTTCCTGTCTTATCGAAGACTCCAGAGTCATTAGTATCCCCGTAGATTGATATGATGTGGACGCTTCCGCTGGCAAAATTGTACAACCTTGCGTGATCCAAGTTTCCGAGATCATACGAAGGCTTGGCGACAGCCCGTGTAAGAGCAGGCTCTGTTGTCAATCCAGTCAGCATCTATTGGAAAGTTGATCCTAAATTGCTCTGAAGTTTTTCCGGAACAGGTTTCAGCACATAAAAGCAAGCCATTTTTCTACTTTCCCCTTCATATCACACCATCACCAAAAATGCATTTCTTCTTCGTTCTCGCCGCTTTTGCTGCTCTGACTGCAACTGTATCTGCCAATGAAGATGGTATTGAATGTCCCCTTCTTTGCGCGCAAACCTTGTGCTGTGAGAATCAGCACTGCACGCGGAAATTTAACACACAGCTCGTGAGTATCAGCGATTTGCATCCTGAATTTGTCCACATGACTCACCGACGGGTAGAAACAATACATCTATGTTTGTGTGTAGTATGTCGCGATGGTGGATTACAGTGAGTCATGTTTCTGCTTTCTCATCGGTGTAGTATTATGGCATTGATGCCACGATGCATTGGTTCGTTGCAGAATAAGATCATGATGCTTCTGAACAAATTTTACCGTCGGGCGGTGGAGGTCTTGAAACAGAGGAACAGTTGAATACACGTGATTGAAGTGAAGCTCATGACCCAATTTTGTATACCGTACAAGCACCCTGCCCCCTTCATACTCTTCCACGGTTGAAATCCAATCTGTTGTTTGCGTACACAAGGTCAGCTAGCTCTGCACTGACTGTACATAAGTTATGATTGAAATTGTCGGGAAAATCATCCGTACGTGTTCTCAATGTGACCACATACCAAGTTGTAGTAACTATCCAACTCTTCAACGATTGCTGTACGTAATGCTGATCACTGTGAGTGTATATGGTAGCCATACAGTTACCGCCCGGTATCGTACCGTTTGTCATACGGTGCCCTCGATACCCTCGACAGTACGGTGTATGGTCATACGGGAGATGAAGAACTTACAGTCGCTAATGTGTAGTAAACGTAAGTATCAATCAATCGACACTAATGAGAACATACCCGGGCCGAAGGGGAGCAGACACCAGGTCACAAAATGAAATAGTTATTTGTTGCCAGCAGCACACACATATCAGACGTGTCGTAAGTATATGCAGGATATAAAAGCTGGTCGTCCATCAGTATTCCCCAAATATCAATCGAAATAGGTTACATATCACCTGGCACACAAAATGCGTTTTTCCTTCCTCGTTGTTGTTGTTGCTTTGTCAGCGTCTATGTATGTATAGCCCAGAACGAACCTTGTAAACAAACCAGAAATTGCTGCCCTAACTTGGGCTTGCTATGCGTATATCCAGTGATTATGAGTAGGAACCAGGGTTCAACTATATGACTCACCTGTAGGGTGTCCTCAACTTTGGTCAACATCAAAAGAAGGCAACTGCCACACGTGACACAAAGTCACACGTCAATAAATTAATGAGAGCTCAAAAGCCCAGATTAGTACGGTATGTTAGAGTTTGTTATTTCACACATACCTGTAATACTGCCTACTGTGGCCGGCCTGAGCTGCAAGTACGTACGGTAGTATTGGTCCAGTTAGGCTGAGGCCTATCAGTGAATTGTAAAGCTGCTGACTCATCAGATTACAATTTGAACTTTGAACCTTCGTGCAAATCATAACTCCAGCTATAACGTCGTCAGATGGCATGACGCAGTGAAACGTGGTTACGGATAATTCTGAAGACGTAATGTCACCGTTAATTTTGTATAAGACGACAGTGTAAGCACGCCGTCTTACTCGAGTTCCCATAATCAGTACATATACTGTCGCCGACACTGAAACAAGCTTTCAGTATCTCACCTTTCGGTGTAACGGTTATGCGATGGCGGCAGTCTGACCAAGTTACAGAAGGTATAGACAGGCAGTTGTTCCCATATCATGGAGAGCCTCATGTGAGTTCCCCTTAAGTATACATCACCTACCATTTCTTCTAAATGAACCTGACTTTTCTTACCCTACAGATTTCTGACAGAATTCCACTCCGTTCGTGGTTTACGATCGCCAGTTTCCCTGTATCCTATCGACTGATTTGGACCGTATTTGTAATCACTTTTTTGCGTCAGACAATTACCAAGACAATCGTCCACCTTGTTTCACTCGATCTGCACCATATAAACTTGATCCAGATTCCACACCTCTCAGATTCAAGTACTCAGGCTGGCGGCGTAGTGAGCTACGCCACACATACACTCGAAATTCGGGTACTCGGCGTTTGCAGCACTGGTTAAGTATCTTGCTTCGCTTGAACCCCTATTTCACAATGACTCAGAGGACAAGCAACTCGTCGAGGGATTCGACTCAAGAAACTCACACATCTGGTGAAGCAACAGCTCATGAAAGCTCTGTACGTGGATTATGGGTTTCACTTAGTCTAGTCTACTCCAAACACTGATATTGACACATCCTTCGTCTAGCATCGATCCCGTCGCAAAGTCGGTCGGTTGCTGAGGAAGGTCAAGGAGGGTGCGAAAAAGTTAATGTTGGTGAGTCCACGAGCACGTGATGAATTTGAATGTCCTGGGATACGAACTAAGATTGCAACAAGCGCTCGAAGGATTCGCGCAGCCTTAGCACTGCACCCCCAAATGATCATGACGACTCGGAACGTGCTTCATCGACCCCAAATAGCGAGGTGGGTTCTCATACTTGCCATTTAGTCTATGTGTTCTCTCTAAATTGTGGTGGTTGGGCAGGTTCAGGCTGAGGCTCCGTCTGATGTGGAAGGAGAGGCTGATATAGGCCGATCAGCACTTGACATCGACATATACGTCCACCGTACAGGTAATGATTCGGAAGTGGTTGTGACTTGACATATATTTATATCTTTCCAGAGGAAATACGGTACCTCAACCTCGACGATATGATCTATGCATGGGACGCGGGAATAGATAGCACGAAAGAATGTCTTGAAGGCACGCGCTTAGAGATCCTTTCCCAGATCACGGACTGGATGATCAACACTGGGGAAGACGTTCCACGCGTGCTGTGGTTATCTGGTACTGCAGGCAAGGGAAAATCTGCTATCGCTCACACCATTGCTAAGTGGTTCAACGACGTGGGAGGTATTTGTTCGTGTTACTGTTTTGATCGCCAGCGAGAAGCAGATCGTCTCCATGAAAAGATCTTTTCCACGATTGCGCGTGGCCTCGCTGATCGTGACCCGAAGATGAGACGGGCATTGGCAGATACCGCAATTTCACTCAAAACCACAGAAGACATCACCCGGCAGTGGCAGGACCTTCTTATCGAACCACTAAAGAAGTCATCTTGGCCAACCTGGGAACCCATCGTGATCGTGATTGATGCACTAGACGAGAGCGGAGGAGCAGAGACACGGAGAGACCTCCTCCGTATTCTAGCTGGCAAATATACTACCAGTAGTATAACGCGCGACATTCCCAAAATCACAGATCTCCCACGCAACCTCCGCTTCATCGTTACCTCTCGTCCGCTTGCTGACATCACAGACGAATTTTGCGGCGTTCAGCATATTAAACAGATGTCCATGGACGATATTCCAACAGCATTCACAGAGCGCGACATCCGTGCTTACATATCCAAGAAGTTGGAAGGGATGGATTTCCAGGAAAGAGAGTTGGCAGTCCTCACTGAGAAAGCTGATGGACTTTTCGAGTGGGCGCATCTCGCCTGCACATACATCAAAGGACCCCATATGGGGTTACATCCAATTGATACCTACAACGCTGTGGTGTCGCGCGATCCTGCTCAGAGAATCATGCTGTTGCACAGCATGTTTTACTCTATTTTAACAAACCTCATGCCCAATGTTACATCTGCCCATGTCCAGATTCCGCCGAGATCACATTCGAGGGCGCTAGGGAGATTCCGCTCGGTGATGGGACAGATACTAGTCACAGCCGAGCCCCTTCCTTTAGCTTCCCTGAACGCCATGAGGCGCCATTTTCCGATGCAAGAGGACAATTTCGACATAGAGCTTGTGGTAAAAGGTATGGGCTCTCTCCTCAGCGGCACCACCAATCCAGATTCCACTATCCGACCCCTTCATGCATCCTTCCGCGATTTCTTGACAGACAAATCTAGTGGAGAGTTTTTCATCGACCTATCAAAGGCACAACACGCCCTTGCATTCGCGTCACTTCGAGTGATGGAACATGATCTTTGCTCCAATAACTATGATTTAAAGTCGTCATATTTGCCTAAGAGCAAAGAACCTGGACTGCAAGAACGAGTTCAAACTTTCGTCCCTCCACATCTGTCATATTCCTCTCGATTTTGGACTTCGCATGTACAAAACACAGTCTTCGACGAAGAGCTTGCGAAAGAAGTCAAATCGTTCTTTGATCACGAGCGGCAGTTTGTCTGGCTTGAGTTACTCGCCATGATCAATGCGCTCAGTAGTGCAGTTCCTGCCCTTTCGCTCATTCCCCAGTGGCTAGATGTGAGTACATTGTTACGGAGTGCCAGATAAAACATTCAAATGCAACACTAGGGTCATCCCGAATTTAAAGATGTCTCATCGACTGCAGTAGACGTACAGAGGTTCGTTCAAAGTCTTTAGCGAAACTATTTTACACAACACACCGTGAATGTTCAAATTGCGGCCGGTCTGGGTGCATGTCTGCGCAGACACCAGGTTTGTGTCCGGGATCGGTCCGGGTGATTCAAGTGGGATCAAGATAATAAAGCTGCCTGATTCCCGAAGTGCCCGCCGCCCAGGAATGCTGATTTTGGACTCCGTTCTAATTGGGTAACGTCAATCCTCTTGGCCTTGTCTCTTCCTGCCAGTCCATCTTTCTTGCTTGTGACTTGCGTGCCAACATCCTCCACCTACTTGCCCGCCTACTGTCTATCATAGGTTTAGTGACACCAAAATCGTGACGGGCTAATATAGCAGCCTGTCCCTGTACATCTGCCATCGATGACGATGTCTTCTCGGCAACATGCTCCTTGACAATGTGCTCCCATTATCACCACTGTCCAACCTGCACTATGACTCGTCAAATGTTTGGCCTCATGGAAACTACGCTGTTGATATGTCTACTGGTCACTAGCAAATGGACAACAAGGTCGTGTGGGCTATCAACAGGCAACATTATTCCAGCTCGTATTGGGTACCGTCCGTGAAGACTACTTACCGTCAGGATCACCAGGCACGGTGAAACACAGATCTCGCTGACAGCTGTCCGTACTCCTATGACCGTCTGGTCACACTACCTCGCTGCGCTGGGCCATCAAAGTAAGAAGTGGGTAGGGCCAAGCAAACGCCCAATTTTTCTTACTTTTTTCTCACTCATCTCCTCATTGATTTGTAACGCTACTGGCACACGCATCACTATCATGTTGACTCGTTGTGTAGATATTTCTCGCAATGTCATCATGATCATGTTTGTCTTACATAGTTCAGTTTCAATAATATTTCCATCTCTTCATCGAAGAACTACAAGCAGAGCTTGATCCTGCGCAAGTAATATATACATCCTCCGCGAATCCTATTCAGCTGCATGTACGAATGACTCACCTGCAACCCAAAAATCACCATCGCATTCTGCGAGAAATCCGACGAACATAGCTAACTTTTTTCGCGAGGGCTGGACATTGATTCCGCGGAATTTAAAGTCATTTTTGTCGAGTCGACTCCTCTTTGGTTTCACTACAGTCAAAACACCGCGGCTTTGCCTCCCCGCGAAAAAATTCAACGAAGATCTAGAAAAATGTTGTCAGCAATTTTCGCTCGATCTTTCTTGCGGACGTGAGCGCTTGACGGACGATTACATTATCTGTATAGCAAGATATCTGGGGAATCAGCGACACATGCAAGCGCGACCTACAAGATAAACATTGATATCAAGATAAACATTAGGATCGTACAACGGTACTGAAAGCATCGGTTGGTAGTATGGTAGGACGAACGAGTGCGTGAGGCTGTATGGCAAGACGTTGAAGACTAGAACTTTCTTTGAGGCATTTTGTCGTGCTTTGAGCGCGGAAATCAGAGTATCCGATTCTGCTGCTGCACTATAAGGATCCTCGGATATGGCTAGGCCGAGGAGGTAGGCATTGAACCTGACAGGATGAAATGATAGGAACAAGAAAAGGAGTACGAAAATTTTGAATGAGTGGCGGTATGAAGGGGTATGGTGTAAGATGGGGCCTGGGACCATGCTGGTTGACGACGATGTAGCCGCGTGATTCGGATACGATGATGAGTCACGCGGACAGCTTCGAGCACCTAGTCCGTGTATCCTTAGTGTCTGAAAGGGGTGGGTATCATTGTGGTGCGCCCTCTTCGACTTGCCAGTGTAGTATGCTAGCTAGCGGGATGAACTGATAAGGCAGCGAGATGTCGGGTGCCTCGAATGATAATCGGTCAATTAACATTGCTGGTGGGCGGGCCGCCGTACTGGGGGGGATATGAAGAGACTTTGAACAAAAGCTGTGTACCAGGGCGTTGAAGACGGATGGTACTCACAGGCAGTGGTGTGCTAGTCGGAGATGTCAAAGGGTGCTGTGCCGTCGTTCTCGGGGACGTCATTGTCGGCGGGCGACACGAAAAGGAGGTGACCTCGATCGATCAACCGAGACCAAAGGCCAAACAATCGCAAACAACCGAAACTCTAATTGAATCTGTCCCCGGTTGTCGTCAAGGGGGTTGCATTGACAACGCCGTGTGCGAGTGCAGGCTACACAGTACACTGACACCAGACATCGCGTGAATCAAGAGCTCGCCTGGGATGAGTTCTCATACGTGTGGAAGCTTGAGAATAGCCTAGCGTGTTTTCTTTCCCTCGTTCATATCATTCACATCATTAAGCTTTTTAAATAAAGCCAGGACAGGCTTGAGCAGCTACCAGTAACACAACCATGGACTCGGACACAGCAGACTCCATCAAAGTCAAAGTATCCCCAACTCAAAGCGCATACTTTGCAGGCGAACCGTTCAGCGTCGCAATCACATTCACCAATACTCGTATACCTTCTCCACACAACACACCAGTACCTGGGCCAGCATCCGCACCAGTCCAGAAATCACATAAACGAAATGCCCATTCTATAAGTTCTGCACCCCTCGCCAGGCCTCCTACCTCTCCCGGTTTGAGCCCACGTCCACCAGATTTCATCAAAGCGCTTGGTGTTGGAATTGGCGAAGAGGGAAGAAAAGGATTGATCGGGAATGGAGCCACCGATGGCAAAGGGAAAGGTAAGGAAGTGCTCGAAGCCAGCCGTAGTGCATTGGAGAAGGTCAAGCGCGGTGAAGAGTATGTACAAGCTTATGACGTAGATTCAGGTAAATCTCTCCTCGTCGTCATCGACCTCACTAGCTCAAAGTGATTGCAGTAACACCACGCACGACCTTCCCTATCCCTCAACACCACCCACATGCACGCAAACAATCAGTGTTAGACGGTCACATCCAGATAAACGAAGTAGTACAACCCCCGACCAGCACACTCGACACAATCGCAGAAGCACCCACCCACTCATATCCCCCTCGTAAACCATCACTCCAGGCACTCGGGCACGGCCATCCTCATTCAACCACCAAACCTGTCCCAAAAAACACAATCCTCCTCCTCTACTCATATGCTCAACTCTCAGGAACAGCACATATCCTCCCTCAAACTACACCAGCAGCCCTATCCAACCTCCGCGCGCATCTCCTCAAAAAACCTGTATTGGGCGGCGGAAGCATGGATATTGCCAGTACCCGCAGGCCCCATTCGCGTTCTGCGAGTCTTACAGGTTCCCTATTCAGTCTATTAAGTCCTTCCAGCTATACTCCTACACTCGGGAGATCAAGAGCCCCTTCCCTCAGCTCCCAAAGTGATACATCTGCTGCGAATGTTGGTCTGGGTTTAGGATCGAATGTCGGAGCAGCGAACCCCGTGGAAGAAGGCGAAGAAGAGATGCCACTCCCTGTATTCGAAGTACAACCTGCCATGCTGGCTGTTGATCTCGCCTTGAGTCCTGGAGAAAGTAGGACTTGTGGGTTGTTCTACCTCTTCTTCGTATAATCATGCTGAAACACAATAGACACATACACCCTTCCCCTACCATCCACCCTCCCTCCTACATTCAAAGGTCGCATGATCAGCTTCTCGTACGAACTTGTAGTTGGCACGTGCCGGAGAGCTGATAGCGGCGAAGGCACCACCACTTCCGTCGGCGTGACCGTGAGCAAGGTAATGAAAGTCCCTATCAGGGTGTATAATTGGGTCAGCGGTCAGTCTGTCCTATCTTTGTTTCAACCCGACGCTAACCAATTGATACAGTCAGCAGACCACAACGCCCCTACGACCTCCTCCTCCCTGTGCGTAAACACGAGGGTGAAAAAGTCATTGATCTAAGCAGCGCATGTGGAGATTCAAAGAAAGACTTGTCCCCTTCCTCGTCGAAGTCCTGTATGTCTTTCTATCTTCCACACATCACATAATTGAATGGGGGATAGCACCGACTACAACACCCGATGGCTCCCTTGACGATCTCCGCGCCTACGGGGAGAGGCTACTCGAGACGTTCCCTGCGGAGGGGTCGTCGGGTGTGAGGATTAAAGAGCCTGCTGAGAGCGTGCCTGAAAGTGTACCTTCTTCCTCCGGGCTTGCTTCCGGGAGTAAAGTAACTTCGGACCCTCTCAGAGCATTCGAAAGAGAACGCGAAAGAGAGCTAGAGGGAGGAGAAGGAGAACTAACAGGGTGTCGAGAAGCTGTCGAGATTTTAACCCGAAATCCCAAGAAAGGCATGTCCAAGCGCGTTATTATCTCTATGCAGACTACTAACGCCCCGCCAGTCTCATACGACGTGACAAAAGACGGTGTCAAAGTCGCTGTTCTTACATTTACGAAGAGTGCCTATAGGCTCGGGGAGACAGTCTTAGGCATTGTAGAAATTAATGAGCGAGAAGGACGGGGAAAAGTGATTTCTGTGAGTAGTTGGTCTCGATTCCGTGGTTCCCGTATCATTCCTTTATCAATTTCGATCGGCTTATCATTCTCGATTTTTGTGACAGTTGAGCGCAACGCTAGAAACAAACGAGAGCCTCCCAGCCTCTCTAGGAAGCACAAACCCAAACACGAGTGCAAGTACTACGCGGCGCGTTCACGCAGAACACCACGCCTCATTCACAGGCAGCACCCTTCGCACCACATTTTCACTGGATATACCCAGCGACGCATGTCCCACATTCGGAATCGTCCTATCATCTCCTCCCTTGCTTGGGAACGGGTCCACATCTGGGAACAGTACTGGGAACGGAACGGGTGCTGAGGCTGGACCTGGGAAGGCAGGGGGATTAACCTGGAAAGTGCATCTGACCCTACTTGTGGGCGTGACAGCACCAAACGCACGGGTGCGTGGGTTGACGAGGGATGGTGCGTCTACTGCATGGGGAAGTGCTTGGCGTGCGCCTGTGGGGATCGCTCCTGAACAACAAGAGCCTGGGAGCGCTGTGAAAGAGGTGGGTAAACAAGTGCAGCAGCAGAGCTGGACTTCATACCTCGTGCACTCGTTCCTGGGGACTGGGGAGAAGGAGTATCATGATGGAGATATTGATGAGGAGGAGGTTCCTGCTGAAAAGGGAAAAGGGGAGGAGGAGGAGGAGGGTGATTGGAGAGATGTACAGGTTGAGATCGTGGAGTGTGAAGTGCCAGTGGTTGTTTGGCCTGGTAACACGGCGTTCAGCGCTGTAGATGTTGTGTTCGAGGTTTGATCTAGCCTGAGACTGGATCGAGATCCGTGATCTAGATTCCGCGGAAGGATCCGTGAGCGCCGGATATTTATCGAATTTTTTTTGAATGATATTATATTTTAATTACAAAAATGTTGATCGAGGCTTCAAGCCTTCGCTTTTAACGGACTCGCGCCTTAACTTGAACTTGGTTGGTTTAGAGCATACTAGAAAGAGCCAGGTGAGTGAGTTTCAACGATTGTCATGAAAAATTCAGTTGAATGGAAGAAATGTCAACAGTGATAGAAACTAATAAGTCCCCAGTCAGCCAGCTGTCGTACGAACTCGCCAGCTAGCTGTTCTCGCCACCGCCAGCTGTCATGCAACATCTATCTGAAGACCAAGACTTTGATCGCAGGCATCGTTTCCTTGACCCAGACCCAAACAATTCTAGCAGGGAACGAGCAACAAGTCAACCACCAAGAACAAACTTGACAAGTCTACGCAATCAAAACTCTCCTTCATCTCCTTCATCTTCGTCATCTCCTTGGTCACCACGTATCCTCCAACAACCAACTAGAACGACAACAGGTCTTCCAATGAGCGTACCAACCCGTAGCTCCTCCTTCTCAAACCCCCAATCAAACTATAGCTCCGCACTCCGCGAATCCCACTTCGAGTCTACCTTCGAAGACGACGAATCAGAAGCACTCTCAGACACTTATGACCATCATGATGACGACCGCTACCTGCCCACTTCATCCCGTGGCCGCTCCTACGCCCCCGATCTCACCCGCAGCCGCTCTCAAAGCCTCGCTACCACCACAGCTCGTCCCACTTCAATCCAGTCCCCGTATCAACATTCAAACCTCTGGCCAGACTCGACTAACAACTCAAACCCGCTCAATATTCCACCTACTAGGTATGGAGAGATCAAACCACCCGCGTCTAGTCGCTACGGGAGCCTTGGCGCTATGGGCAGGTCCCCGCTCGCCGATAACGGCTATCCGAACAGGAACACCATCGACGTCTCCAATATGAGCCCATTTGTTCGTGATGTTGGTCAGATCCTCCTAGACGACGGCTCTGCGTTCCGAGAGCTCTGGGCAGGTATGAATCCTCCAAAAGACGAGAATGGCGGAGGCGGAAGTGGTACCACTAGTCGGAGACACAGCGTCAGCGTCGTTCAGCCTCGCAGGCCCACTATCGTCGGCTTTAATGCGCCTGAGAGCCCTGGGGATGAGACCCATGGGCATAGTCGCCCTGGCGTATTTAATGCACAGCCTTTCGGAGGGAGAGGCGGTCTCATGCTTTCAGATGATGATTTAGCTGCTGATCTCGGTATGCTGAGCATGAAAGAGCCCGGTGCGCCGTCCAGCTCATCAACCGCGAGCCAGCCGTCCTCCCTCCCCATTTACCCACGCAGCCCGCCCTCCGCAGACCCCTACCACCTCAACATCACATCCGGGACGAGCTTCGCATCCCGCCAACAATTCGGATCTCCAGGCGACAGTGCGCTTTCCACAGGTGGAAGTCCCCCTCGGGGACATTTTGACCAGCAGATTTTGGAGGCGCAGTATGGTCAACAGCAGCTTACGGCGCGATTTATCCCAGGGCAGGGTATCCAGTACCTCCCTGTGCAAAACAACGGCGCTGGGTTCGCACGCCAAGGCCCGCTCTCACCCACTACCTCCCGCCCCATCCAGCCCCAACAAGGCCCGTACTATTCTCAAATACAACGACGCCTTTCCGACGCCAGTCAGACCCAGCAAACGCCCTTGAGCGACCTAGGCAAAGGCCTCCCTTTAAGCAGCGTCCCAGCTTCCTGGCCGCTCTTCATCGTCGAATTCAAAGCGGGGCGTACGGACCTCTTTTATCTCACTGATTTAAGCCAAGATATCAGAGTTGGGGATTTGGTGATCGTAGAAGCGGACAGAGGGAAGGATTTAGGCAAGGTCGTGAATGACAGTATTACGCTTAAGGAGGTGGAGGCGTTCCAAAGGGAGGTTAGGGAGAGGGAGGCGGGGGAGGCGATGAGTCCTGGCGGTACGGCTGGGACAGGGAAGAAGGAGATTAATCCGAAGATGATTTATGGGAAGGCGCAAGCTCATGATACTCAGTACGTGTTTCTTTTGCTTGGTTCTGAGGCGGGCGTTGATGGGGACGATAGGCATTTAGTGACGAAGATGCAAGATGAAGTTAAAGCGCTGCAATTGTGTCAGAGTAAAGTTCGGCAGAAGAAACTTCCTATGGAGGTTATCGATGCGGAGTATCAATGGTGCGTGTTCGTTTGGTGTTTAGAGGACACGAGAAGACTGACGCATTGCAGGGATCGACGTAAACTCACATTCTACTTTATCGCTGAAAAACGAATTGATTTTCGGGAGCTTGTCCGGGAGTTGTTCCGGTGTGTCTTTGTTTACCTGCTTGCGTTGTACCTACGTCTATGCTTCTGCTTGCTTGTCTGCTATGCATGTGTTTACTCGCTCGCCTGCTAACGAATTATTTACAGGTTGTATAAAACAAGGATCTGGATGGCCTCTTTACAAGGCCCAGGAGGGTACGAGCAGTAATTGCTCCCCTCACATCTATACAAGTAACGACGGAAAACGAGGAGCAGGACGGAATCCCAATTTCAACCACACCACGCAAACGCAAACTATCACGACACCAGTCAATCTCACGAAATGTACGCATGTATGTATGATCTAGATATGCAATATCCACGCTCTTCGTCGCACATCTAGAATCTTTTTTTTTTTTTCCAATTCTTTCATTTGTTTCATGTTCAAGTTCAAGCTATTTATGGATCAATGTTCATTCATGTTCTGGTTTTTTTTTGTATCGTATTTTGTTGTGTGTACGTTAGTGTGGAGGTTTTTTCCGTCTTTTGGAGAGGAGAAATGGCCCTGACGCCTTGTATTAGTATGGTACATAAAATCTAAAATATATATTGTGGTGCTTTACGCGTGCGTAGGAGCGGGAATCGTCAATGAAAATGTATACAATGCGTCCGAGTGTTGATACAGGGGTAAGATGTGGGGTGGGGATCAGGATCGGGATCTAATAAGAGCGTTCATGACTGCAACCACGACTTGCACAATCAAGAATGTTGCGTTGTTAACTTGATGTCGATCTGCATCTAATTCTAAAACAGATCAGCCGGCATCTAGCTTGCAGGCAACTCGTTCGCTTTTCGCTCAGCAGTGACTACAAATGGCAAATGTAACGCGTCAGCAAGACTAACGAGATCAACATGGGATGATCACGCACCCCAAGCACGTCGATCCATAGGACACTGCTGTTTCGAAGCGGTCGTTCCTAGCCATTTTAGTAGGCAGTGCATATGGAATACGTGACTACATTCGCCCCAGACTGTTGTGACAGAAAGTCAGATCCTTTGCGCGAGGAAAGGTGGAAGGAAAGAACGTGACGAGCGGAAGAGATGCACAAAGCACGAGGCACGACAAACGCACAAAAGAGCAAAACAAGACCAGAACTCACTCAAAGGACAATCATCTCCCGGTGCCTTACACGACGGACAGCACCCCTCAAACGGAACGCGACAGATCCCGCAGACGTCGCCTTCGTCGTCTTGATCGTGGGTTGCGTTTCCTGTGTTCCAGCGCCATTGAGCGACGGCGCTCCAGTGTTTGATGTGGACTTTCATGCGTTTGCGTGGTGTGAGGTTGACGAAGAGTAAGCTGGAGCGTCCGAGGAGGAGGGTTTGGGGTTATTTGGTGTTGTGTACGCGTCGTGGGTATTATTTTCAATATTATGACTTTCACGTTTCAACTTGAACGTTCGGCTTCATCGGATATCGTACATCACGGGACTTGGTGCACTACTAATTTGGAGCTTATCCTCACGTATACGTATATCCTACATATTCCGAGTTTCAGATCTAGGAATACGGGAGAGCATCTAGAGGACCTCATACAGGGAAGATTGGACAGTTGTCTCCATGGAAATTGGTTATGGTGTGCTCTGACTTGGTGAGCATTCTGGAAGGCACGGGACACATTCATTCACGCGCAATATCGCTTTAACATCCAGTTTGTATACATCTAACTAATCGTGTGCTAGTAGGCTTCATGATCAGTCACAAGGACACGAGCCATTTATGGCACAGTCACGCAACTTTGGTTCGGCCTATATCGCTCATTGACTACAATGCACGCCGTAGATTGAACCAAGGTCGAGTCTGCCCATCTAACAAGCACCTCTTTGGTGGTAGTGGTAATGTGCCTTGAATCTGTGGTTCAGAAGGTTCGCTCTCATAGCTGCTTGGAGTTGTTGAATTTCAATTTGCACGCCTCCTGTAGGTTTTTACTCTTGTTCTTTTTGTGGCTTGTGTTAACTGTTTTACAGTGCCATTGCGCGGTGGCAGTCCAGTGTCTTTATTGACATTGTATTTGCTTCTTCTGCACTAATCAACTGTGATCCTGATGGTTTGGCTCGATGTGGACTGCAAAATGCAGTCGGTCAGAATAGCGGAGATTGTGCAAATGTTCTTGAAGGTCGGTTGCGATCATCTTCTAGTGTGTATGACTTCAGGATCGGTGCTTTCTGGGACACTTGGGCTGGTGACACGTCAGCCTTGCAAGGAGGGCAACGCAAGATCAGAGCAACTTCAAGCTATAGTTTGCACGTCAGTAACATCAGCTCCTCGCTGGTATAAAAACATACATGCGTAAAAGATGAGTACTGAGTGGCAGGCTCATGGCCACTACGGTTCCGTTATCCTAACTATTTCAGGTATTCGTGTTAGTCATCGCTTGGCCTCGTCGTTTTCTCTGGGGGTTTCTTGGGGTCGGGATGATTTCAGCTCCATCATTGAAATCAGAAGAGCCCACGCTGGGGAGAGTCGGATGTTTCTTCCTGAAGGCACGTGAGTTGTTTGCTCCCACGTCCTACTTAGGATATCTTGCCATATATATCCAAGTCATCTCAGTTCATATCATAGTACTCCGACTAAAATCTCACATTTAATCTTTCAATGCACGACTCATTTAGCCAAATTATCGTTCACCCGCGCCGCCATAATGTCTTTATCTTCAAATTCAGTATCCTTACCAGACTTCCTTTAGGAAGATGGCAAGAGGTTCTCCGATAACTGTGCAAAAGTACACAATGCTGAGCGCAAACATCAGTTACAGTCGCATATGGTCTGAGTTCTTTTAACTTTCCAGTTTCACTTATCCACAAATACTGATAGTTTGACGTAGATGGAGCTCGACGGAATCGACTTGGAGGACGATGATCAGGATATGTTGTTCTACCAGCTCAGCGTTGACACTGTATATGCAAGTTATGCTGCAGCGCAGAACCGCGTTCGCCAGTACACCCAATTATTGATACCTCTGAAGCGGGAGGAAAAACTATGGGCACAGAGAGTTGAGAAGGCAAGATATGTATTGCCGGAATATAAGTCTAGATGGTTGTCAGCCCTGCAGGAGTCTTGAATTCGAACTATCTACCACTCTTTACATATGCTACCGTTTCTTTCTCTGAGTTGTTGCTTGGAGAAACCGTTGAAATTTTTCACTCTATGATCTATATTTTTGGCGTACTACTGTCACCTGATCCGGAATGCACAATTGATAGGTAATGCGCAACGCACTCCAGAGCTCACAAACTCCACATATATTTCATTTGGAACAGCTGGAGAACAGGTATTACATATATTCAACAAACCTACCAAATAAAATATCTTAAATCGACACTGGAACGTTCCCGAAATGAAACATTGTGTAAGTGTACTACATAAAATAAATGATTTTTGGACGCTGAAATCGAAATCCACTCAGATTAATATATCAACAAAGCGTCACTGCCTGCGAGGTCCTGAGATGGTATCCTACCGTCCCACTAGGTTGGTCGGTAGTGAGTCAGCTTTGTGTTTGCGTGGCTGACCCCTTGCACAGAAATTCCACATGCGATATCAAATGATGATGTTTATGGCAGGCACTTTATGCCCAAAGGTTCGAAGTCGTGAGTCAAGATTACCGTTGACTCAACTGTAATTCAATCAGGTGCAACAGTAATGATTGATCAGAGGTGTGTCAGGGTCTTCATAGTATCTGGTATGACTATGCATCAGCCTGCGATGCGCCCATACCAGGAAACCACACACCGGTGGAAAGTTTGATTGTGCAACGCACAGAGCTATCATACGTTGGTTCAATGAGATGCACATCGTGTACCGCAAACTTACTAAGGGCTACTCACCGCAACATGAAGCATTTGTCTGAGGCCTTTTACATTCATCTGCGTTGATTTTACATTTGTTCTCGTTAGTGCCGAGACTATACTTGGAGAAAGTGTCATACCCAGAAGACGTGCAGCTCTGACCATCTCCTTGGCAAGGTGCACCAAGTGGGGGATAGTCAAATCCAAGTAGATCGAGCCAGCGGGTCACGGTGATCGCAGGAAGGATGATCACTATGGCAGATTAGCGAACATTTGCATGATTCAGTATCAGCCATTGCTGATTCGAATTCTCGGAGCACTGTCATTTCAGAGGGAAGCGTAGGGATAACGGTCAACTCGAAGAAACAACTTCAAGTGGTCAGCCACGGTAGTGATGTGCACGGCCTGGCCTGGATTTCTCAAAAGCTAAAGCCGACGGCCTGAGCCGCGACTCCTAGCCTCTATTATAATTCTACTATCGACGACAACGAGTGCTAAAGCAGGTCAAGTGCGTAGATATGTCATAAGAGACACACCATTCAGCAAACATGGAAATAAAAAAGCAATACATAATTACACAACAAAGCGCACTCGTCTCCGGCCTTGTCCTGTGACAACTGAGTCCCTTGCCACACGGAAGTTGATATGCTCTGCAGGCTCGGTGCAATGATGTGAAATTGGCAGGCTCTTTGAGTGATGGAAACTGAAGTGTTGAAGGTTAAACTGCAGTAATCGCGCGCTTAACCGCATTTGGATGCAAAGTTCTGTCACACAAGTCACAGTCACTACTTGTAAATGTACAGCAAGCAGACCCGCTTCCTTTAACTTCTATCGTTCACTAGACGAAACTGTGGCAATTAATGTGGTCCCCACGGAAGGAGCTCAGCGTGACTTAACCATGCTGCCAGTGGTTATCATGTGATGTATAATACTTCTCCCAATCAGAGATAACAACTTCTTATGGGGTGTTCCTCTAGTCCAGCTTCGGAGCCTGTCTCTGAGTCGAATTGCCATGACATTCAAGTGGTAAGTGCGGCTAGCAAGGTGTTAGTGAACTTCTAATAATTTACTACTAGCCTATCAGCATCGAGCATGTAGCAAGTGCCTAGAAATCTTCCAGGGTCATCATCAATCAGAACCTACAATTATGCGAATCTCAGTCATGCAAGCCACATGCACCAAATGTACATGTGCTTCAAGTTTGATGGAACATTTCATGTCAGCTAGATCCAAATTGCAATTACATCCTACCAGTGATCATATGTCTTGCTTGTGAAGCAAGTGGCCCGTGTTGCAGTCAGAACTTCAGAAGTATGATGCTTCGCTTTGGCTATAAAAGGTCTTTCCTCGACCATCATCATGTCGTTGAGTGCCATCCGAGTCATCCGAGTCAATGTTCAACATGATGTTGACCCTTGCGTCGCTCCTGCTTGCAGGTCCCACCCTAGCAGCTATCCCCAACGCCATGCTTCGCGGCATGCCCTCTCTCCCAAAGATCCCAGTGCCGGATCGTTCCATCATAATTTCGCCGAATGGCACAGTGCTCCCACCCATTACCACCGTCTATTACTTTGATCAACTTATCGATCACAATAATCCAGACCTCGGGACCTTCCAGCAGCGATACTGGATGAACTGGGAGTTCTACGAGCCCGGTATGTCGTGAGGATTGAGGTACAGCTTCGAATAACATTAACCTGATGCATTGAAGGTGGCCCCATCATCTTGATGACGCCCGGAGAAGGTGACGCAGATGGTCAGTCTACTGTCGTTGATTTGCGACCTTCTAGAAAGCACTTGATTTTTAGGTAACGAGGGCTTCATGACCAATAAGACCATCAGTGGTCTCATCGCTCAACAACAGAATGGTGCAGCCATCATGATCGAACACCGTTTCTTCGGCTATTCCAATCCATATGACAACCTCACGTCACAATCTCTCGCTTCTCCTTACTATCCAGCAGGCCATTGATGATCTCGAGTATTTCACGAATACCGCTAACCTTCCGATGCCTGGAGGTGATGCTGTGAAACCAGGTCAGGCGCCATGGATATTAGTCGGAGGAAGCTACTCGGGGGCCCTTACGAGTTGGACGATGGTCAAGTGAGTAACTTACCGTGAGTGGATGCTGGTTTCAATTAATGATTCGCGTAAAGCAAACCAGGACTTTTCTGGGCCGCGTATGCATCTTCTGCAGTCGTAGAAGCAATCACGTATGTCATTATCGCTCGTGTCCCATTAATGTGATCTGAATATGTCTGCATTACAACATGGTCATTACTGAAATGTGGTTTCATTCAACAAAAACAGTGACTATTATGGGTATTTCACCCCTATTTACGAGCACATGCCACAGAACTGTTCCTCTGATGTAGAGGCAGTGATTGCGTACCTGGATGGGTTGTACATGGCTAATGACACAGCTGGAATCCAGATTCTCAAGGAGGCATTCGGTCTAGGGGATCTTGTACACGTAGATGACTTCGCCGGTGCACGTGAGTAGTATCCTTCGTACCCGTCTTAGATCTTTGCATGGAACGGACACAGTGTTCCGAAGGGCTTCTGATCCACGCAACATCCGTGGTTGCTATTGCCTTCATCAGCGCTCGCAGTCCTTCCGTTTCCACATGCTTATTTCAAATTTTCTTTGTCCAACATTCTTTTTCTTAAATAGTTCTCCTGCCTTCTTGACTTGACTGACTCTGTTCGAGCCAAAAGTTCAATCCAACCTGTTCGATTGGCAAGCTCTGCAGCCTGATGTCGGCCCAAGAGCGATGTTCTTCCGGTTCTGTGATGCACTCGAGGTCAAAAACGGAATCAGTGCAGGACCTGAAGGATGGGGGCTCGAAAATGCCATCCACTCTTGGGGAACTTTTTGGAATACCACATACTATAACGTTGGTAGGCGGTTCCCTTCGTTTTTGATTGACGTGGCTAAACCTGATAGTGAAGTCTGTGGATCCGAGGATGCCGAGTACGTATCCTTCGGACCTAGTCGTCCAGATTGGCTGACTGCCAAGCTAGAACCTGTTTTGGGACGTACGATACCAGCCAGTCCTATTACACTAATGTCACCGTGAATAATGGAAACAGATCGTGGTTTTGGATGGTGTATGGATTCTCATTAGCTCGAATATCCACTTTGACAACTATTCCAGGTGCAATCAAGTCGGATGGTACCAGGTTGGCCCTCCTGAAGGTCAACCCGCAATTGTGAGCCGCATTCTCCAACCCATCTACAACGAAGTACGTCTATTGAATTTGAAACACGAGCACTCTTCAACATAATTTTTTCAGCGTGAATGCGTGAACATGTTTCCTCAAGTGTTCGCCTATCCGCCCGAGCCTACCACAGAAGAGACGAACGCGAAGTACACTGCTTGGGACGTGAACGTCCCGCGTCTCTTCTTCGCAAATGGCCTGCGTGACCCTTGGCGCGAGACGACTGTCTCTGCTGATGGGTTGGATAAGCCTAATATTCCCAGCATGCCGATCTATGAGGGTGACGGATTCCATTGCTCGGATATGATCACACAGAATGGCATTGTGGACCCGACTGTCGCAGCAGTGCAGGAAGCAGGGTTAAAGTACATGAAGGAGTGGCTGGCTGAGTGGACGCCGTCCGCCTGATAAGATATTAGATCATCGGGACTTGTGGTTAGGCGAGTTGCTTGTATTATAGTATCTTGCGTTTGGGGAGAAGCGGTATCCTGTAGCCAGATCAAATGAAAGGAAGACAGATTCCTTTTGTATAGGGAGAAGTGTCGATGCCAATATACATCACATTTCATTCCTCAAGCTCAAGGCCTCCAAGGTCCCAGGCTGCGTCTACTGCACTGTATGTGATTCAAAAGCAAAGACACTCACTCTGTCACCCGGCACCGACTACCTCGGGTGTGTATCAATTCATGATTGTCCTCGAGGCTCGAGCACCAAATTCCTACGACGCATATCCCGTGCATTCAAGGTCCCATCATATTGATGACGCCTGAAGAAGTGAACGCAGATGGTTGATTTTACAATAAACGATTTATTGTCTTTCTCTCCCAAATTACTTGATTTCAGGATACGAAAACCACACTACCAATGAGACCATCAATAGTCTCATCGCCTAACAATAAAACGGTGCAGCTATCGTTCGTCATAGAACACCGTTTCTTCGGTTAAGTCTTCCAATCTATATGATTTCACGCCAGATTTCCTAGCTCTCCTCGTTATTTAGCGGGCTATCGATGATTTCGTATATTTCGCCACATCCCTGATTTAAAATAAAAATTTTCAGCATGATTAACGTAAAGCAAACCGGGAATTTTTTGGGTTGGATATGCATCTTCTGCCGTCGTAGAAGCCATCACGTATGTTACATCACTGCGCAACTCCAATCAATCTAATTGCTTCTCGACTGAATGTTTCTGCACACGACATGTCCGTTCGTTGAAAACCGATTTTGTATTGCCGTTCTTTAAACAGCGACTTTTGTGGTTATTTCACACCTATTCGCGACTAGATGCCACAGAATTGTTCATTTGATTCCAAGCAGTGATTGCATACTTGTATATCATGTTCACGGTTAAATCAAGAAATCACGGCGTGAAACTCGTTCCGGGTATTGGTCGAGTGCTGCCGCTCCAACAAGCTCGCAACAAAATTTTTGTTAGACCTAATTCACAGAGACCTAAGTTATACACGAAACAAAGTTGTGTGCAATAAGTGAAAATCAGGCATTTCCCGTCGAGATGTGATATTGTCGCGAATGTTTGTTTGGTCCTATTAGAATCTAAAGCTTTTATCTTTGTGCCTGTTGCCGAAGGAAGACGTGTGGCCGCTTGTGCCCAGCAGTTCAGAACTTCGAAAAGTTTTCAAGTTCTCATAACAACCTGGAAGAGTTACTTCTCAAACGCGAACTGTGAACACTTGCAATGTTCTATAAAGTCATTGTGAAGGGGAAAAGACCTCTTCAGGCGGCGTCCCATGTCATCACGTCTACTGCGAACAGCTCTTCTGCCCTTTTTTCACGCGTCTTTGTGAAGCGTAGAATCAGTCTATCAAGCACCGTGCGCTCACTCAAGCGGGGTGCGTTGAGACAATCGATTTCAACTAGAAGCAGTATTCCTCCAGAGACTACACCACCACCATTGCCAAGCTCGCATGGCGTTCCGCTCTACAGTATGCGTTTTCGTGGATAAGAGAGTATATGCACATCTGACCTCATCAAATGTAGGACGTCTTATGTTGGCATGGACGAAAACTCCAACAAAATGGTACCCGCTTCCCTTGGCCGTTGGGGCCATTCTCCTCGTCGTCATCCAATACCGCAAGAAAGTAGCGCGTTCAGAGAATGAGGTTCACGTTGATGATGAAGGTCGTGAAATTATTAAGCTCAAAGGTCCATGGCATGTACGTTTCACTGATTAGTTATCGAACTACGTTTGTTACAACTGGTCTCGTGCAGGTCCACGTAATAGGCGCTCTTCCTCTCCGAAACATGTCGCGCTTCTGGGGCTACATGAACTCACTCGAATTACCTGTTTGGATACGACCCTACGGCTTCCGGCTCTATGCATACGTTTTTGGCTGCAACCTTGAGGAAATCGACCCCGACGATCTAGCACAATATGCCAGCCTGGGTCAATTTTTCTATCGAAAGCTTAAGCCTGGTGCTAGGCCCATAGACAACGCTATTCTCGTAAGAATTTATATCTATTAGAGAACTTCTATCTTAACTATATGACAGGTCAGCCCCGCCGACGGTACCGTTTTACACCTCGGGACCATCGAGAACCTTCGAGTGGAGCAAGTCAAGGGAATCACCTATTCATTAGATGCTCTCCTCGGTGTGGATCGTTCAAGTCCGGAAAGCCCAACTTCGACGGTAATCGATTTCCCAGACCGAGAAATGTCTCATGTGACGGACCAAGAATTTGCTAATGTGAACGGCATCGAGTATAGCTTAGACCAACTTCTGGGTGCATCCACGCCTTCTACTCCGGGTACCGTGACACCTCCGACCCCTGGAACTCAGTCCGCATCTGAGGCACAATCATCTTCCGTGCCGAAGAAATTCGGCGAACAGGTTGACGCGTCTGTGGAGCATGAAGGATCCCTCCAAGAAACTATCGCGCATGACGCCTCCGTCGCTCGCGAAATCGGCCTTAGATCATCAATTGAGCGGAAGAGAAGCACTTCGGGCACAAGCGTTAAAGAAGGCAATGCACTTTACTTCACTGTCATCTACCTCGCTCCGGGCGATTATCACCGATTCCACAGCCCCACCGCTTGGGTAGTGGAGAAACGGCGTCACTTCGTTGGTAAGTCTTCATATACATGTTTTGCGTACTGCTTATGCCACGTGGCTTCAAGGTGAACTCTTCTCCGTTTCCCCATGGATGGCAAAGCGACTGCAAAACCTCTTCGTCCTGAATGAAAGAGTCACCCTTCTCGGTCGATGGAAATTCGGTTTCTTTGGTATGATCCCCGTTGGCGCCACTAACGTGGGCAGCATCAAGATCAACTTTGACACAGTATGTATCATTCCATTGGCATAGAAGTGCAGTTTATGCTGATGCCGCACTTCAAGGCTCTTCGCACCAACGTCCGAGGCAGGCCCCCACCTCCCGGAACTTATAACGAGGCCGTCTACTCAGCAGCTTCTCCTATCCTCAACGGTCAACCGTTGACCGCAGGCGAAGAGATGGGCGGATTTTGCTTGGGAAGTACCATCGTGTTGGTTTTCGAAGCCCCGAAGACCTTCGAGTTTGCCGTCAAAGCTGGGCAGAAAGTCAAGGTCGGGAACCGCATCGGTGTCGTAGCCAACGATTCTGCGCCGGTTCGCAAAGTGAAGACCGACTAGATGTGCCCAACTTGCGGTTGCTTGCCACAGACGATCTACATTGACGCATCTTATGACAAATTAATGATGAACGTTCATGATATCCTCGCATAAACCATTCGCCCCCCGAAATGATGGTTGCAACGATGCGGTCATTATGCGGGAACGCAGTACAAGTCCATACTAAGTCCATATTATACCAATACAACAAGACAGATCTACATTTAAAGCACAGAATACAAGTGGCTACCAAGATCCTATACTAGGACTGAATTTGCTCATTAACGAAACAGCAGTGATCAGCTGATAAACAACGTACCCGAATGTCTCTGAACCCTGTAGCTGGAGAACCGGAGTGCCCATGCCATCAGCAGTTGTATTATATACCTTGATGGTGAACGTATTAGTCATTTGAACTGGTAGTTCAATGTCGAGCCTACCGTGTTGCCCCACCAATGTTGCAAGCTCTCCCCAATCTAGTGAAATTGTTTCAACGCCTGTCAGTCACTGGCAGCCTTTTCACTTACCGACCCATTTGCCGGGTATTGCAATCTGTGCAGCTCGATGAATGACAGTCAGAATTACGATTAAGTGAACTTACACGAAATATATGAAGATTACAGAAACAGCTAGTCCAGCATCTAGCGCCGCCGATAACACATCTGCATAACTCTCGTCATACGGCACGAATACTGCCATTAATTCACTTACAATTGTATTTTGTCCACCATGCAAAATTGCGCCTGCAGACAACATCAGAAGACGGTGCACAGGCTTCCAAACGAGAATCTACCTTCGTATAACATACTCAAAGAAGAAACCTACAAGCCTGCGATACATCAGTAAGCCAATGTGCCGTGTACGAAACGCTGTGCACGTACGCCCACGGTACATAATTGAGCGCAGAAGCAGGGGGAATTTTGTAGGTGCCGTTAAATATTAGCGGGCTATGGTGTATGATGCAACGCTTCTAGAGGAATAAAATGATACTATGAACTTACAAACTAGTCAAAGTGTTAATCAGTCAGTGATTTCGATCAAGATAATGACCCACTTTATGTATCGTACGAAACTGTTTGGATACCGCTTCATCGCCAGCCAACCCACGACAGGGCTCGCTGCCCCGATAATGAAGAACACTAACACGGCTAGAAGTGTGTCTATAACATTTCTCTTGTTAAGCTAGTGAAGGAGACATACAGCTGCAAGACCATATTCAGTTCAAATGAGATCAAAGGTAGACTGGCGACTTACTGATATAATTGCCCAGAACTAAACAAATGTTCTGGGCCGATCACACCTGTTCGTCAGAGTAAATTAATCCTTCTCTCAGGGTACCAATCTAATGAACACACCCCAGATGATGGATGCAGTGCCAAATACCTCCGTGTCAGGACAGGTGAAACTACGCAATGTTGAGCATGGATGCCATACTGAACATTCGAACATACCCGTCTTTTTGAGTGGTACTACATATATCTCTACAAGACACTCAGCCTCACCAAGCAGTCAACCAACATTGATGCTTACGGTATGTTAGCGAACATCCACGACTGAACGCCCAATTGCGAGGTTCCAGCAAATAACGTGGCCACAATCTGGCACCAGAACATTTTTCGAGGAGGAATCTTCATGTAGTGACCAAGTTTAAAGTCGGACGTAAATGTCAAGGCTTGAGTCATAGACTACGAGAGTCAATACACCAAAAGACTGGAGGATACGCGACGCACGATATAGCCGAAGGTCTTGAACAGCATCATTGCCACCGGTTTGCCGGGTAGTGCATATCTGGATAGCAAACTGTCAGATAGATTGAGGTCATGGACCAGCGTAAACTTGCCCGATGATCAGCTCTGTGATTACGCTAAGGAATGTTTGAGTTATGACAAGATCTCATCCATGATCATGGAACACACTTTAACCCAATTTGTTGATTGGTGATTGCCTGTATCATTCCGCATGGAATCACATAGGTAAATGCTAAAGGGCATATGGACGTTCAAATAATAACTTTCACGTAGATATCTTGATCCTCACCGATCAAGAGCGCCATGACAAAAGCCCAAACTGGCATCTCGGTAGGCCAAATCTCGATGCTGACGACACCTAATGCAAACATGAGAACGAATAGGGATAAGTACCACCTGTTGTGGGGAATTGCATTAAGTTAGAATCTCTGTAGGAGAATATTACTTGACATGCCATTCGGGAACTTGTGGATATCGACTCATAAGGCGAGCATGAATGTCTGCCTGTTCCCCGAGTGAGCGTTGCGCTTGATACCAAATTTGCTTCCGAAAATGAATAAAGCAATGAACGATAGTCGCTAAGACATTTCTGTTCAATCTGTGTCATAGCTATTGTGCATACTTACCAGTGATGGAGGCAAACGAGAGACTAATGAAAATGGATTTTCTCAGGAGAAAACAAATTGTTCGCCAATTAGGGAACTTACCCGTAAGACATCACAAACGCTGTGCTGTTGTCAAGATGAGTATATATCACCGGAGCTGAGCATGTGGTCACTTACGGAATAAATATCGGGCTGTACTCCTTGTACGCTGTCACGTTGAAAGTGCCCTCTGAAGTCAATATCCGGGTGACATTGTATGTTTTCTGTGTGTTGTCGAAGGAGGTCCTTGACGAGATACTAGCAAGGATTGAGCTGACGTCATAGAAGGAGAGATAGCAATCAGACGAACGGCATGTATAGAGAATACCAGGTGTTTTTAAACTATGAAGGAGTTAATTCATCAGTCGTGAAATCTTTGTGGATCACTAACATATAATATGGGTGTCACTATCCCTAAAATAATGATTCAATACCCAGTTCAGATAAATACCTAGGACTTACAATAGAAAATTACAAAGCCAGTAATAACGTTCGCCGTTGCCCACCCTGATGTTGACCGGAATTAAACTGACCATTGAAGAGATACCCAGGAGACTCACAAGGCATGGCTAGTGGTGACCCATTGTATCTTGACAACCAAGCTTAGGATGACAATAAAGTAGGAACAGCAAATACATACGCAATTTGGGCCCAGTCAAATGTTACCACGGACATTCCCTGGTTCAGAATTCTAAAATCATGACAGGAACCAAGTAAACATCAACATACCATACCGTGGACGTAGCTGTCTTTGTCAGCGCATGCAACATGATTCTTTGGCGAACGAAAAGACATACCCAAAGAGCTGTGAAACAACTAGGGATTCTGCGTGAGGGGCGGTTCACGAATCAGTATCTCGAGACTCACCAGGGTCGTGAGGCCAAATCCATGTTACCCAAGAAAACCACGAAAGGGCCAGGACTGTGCAAACAAAATTGACGAAATAAGGTCGCTATAGGAAATATGCCTTACACAAATAACCAGGGATAAAGTCTGGTGGATCAAAAAATTAAATCAGACAAGAATGGGAACTGGGGAACATTCATACACCACAAGAATGCGCCTGTGAAAACATAGACGAAGAAGCGCTCTCGGCTTAAGCCACCCAATCGCCCAATACCCGTATACTGCTCGGAGTGGAGAGTGTTGAAAAGTGCGCAGCTGACGAGAGTCGCGGGCCAGATCATGCTTGGAGGCGACACAAGAAACCGTCGTGTGACACCCCCGGTGGAGAAGCCAATTAGTTGTGATGATATCACCAAAAACCACTGATCTGATGATGAAGAATTCATTAGCATGCATTCAATCTTGATAAGGTGGTGTGGAAAACGAACAACTGAAACTGAATTTCTGGTTATAGAAAACTCTTTGCACAGCGATAATGTCTGTCTGATTTTGATGCTTTGAACGCATGCTTTGTGATACTTCGAACAGGACTTACTGCATAAGCAGATGTTGCGCCTACCGAAGCCATAATCTATTGTGGGCAGGTCGTGATAAAACAAGGTTATAGGTCTGTAAAGAAAGGACGCACTGTTATGAGCACATGCTCCTTGATAGTGAAGGGACCAGGATTTAGTGAAATTCCAAAGATTTTTTTTCGAGGAAGATAAGCAGCACAGAAGCGGCCTATTGGAAACGAGAGTAGCTGAGCGACTATGCCGGTGATGGGCACGCTGGGATAGCGGAAGAAGAAAAACTGGTTGACACCAGGCATGACAATTGCCCAGGCCAAGCCTAAAACCCATGTACGAAGCGTTGTCACATGTATGGACGGGTCATCTGTGTTTGCGACAGCGGACCGAACCTCTGGATAGGGTGACTCATCGTCAAATTCTGGGCCATGTGAAGGGTCGAGGTTCGGGTCGTCAAATTCCGCACTATCATCGATGGAACTCCGAGCCTGTGCGGTAAAATGTTTCATTCAACCTTCAAGGATGACTGCATGATGCGCAGAAGGCAAACGTACTGTGGGTGCAAAAGCTGACAGCTCCGTTCGATTTCATAAATTTGGGTATTCATAAGATGTTGTCACATAGCAGACTTACTCGAGCTGAGGGTTGCACATGGTCGTCAATCTGTTTATCAGTAGCCTTACCCTCGAGGTCGGCGGAGCTCTCGAGCGGCTTTGGGTCGAGTAATTGCAAAGGGAATCCCGGAGATCCAGAGACGAGCTCCTTGGGCCTCGTCATAGATATGCAGGAGTCGGACTTTTAGAGAAGAGCGTTACAAGTTGTCTGATGCAGGTTTTCACACTAGCGGTGTGACTATGATGTAGCGCTAGCGCCAACTTGAGCTGAATTGGTTGTAATTCGGCTCCAGATTCTAGAATTAACTATCTTCCCACATGGTTAAGTTGAGGGGACGACGAGGATCTGATCATCATGAGGCAGTAGCACTATATACATCGCTAATCAATACAACCATCTAAATCATGCATTGCATATGAAAATCTGCCCAAACCAAACTGGGTTGCCCAGCTCGTCCCTGCTCGGCGAGTTCATACACTGTCGACTTGTTGTATGGCTCAGAAAGGATTGGTCGTCAATTAGAAATGCATTTCTGCCATCACCACCAACACTGCAAATCGCAGATAGCTGATATAGCCCAGACTCCCACAAAGTAAATGCTTCGTGGCACGCATTATAGTATCATGTACGGATAAATGTGCGGTGGCCATACCGTCGAAGCACTACAGCGGGTCCCACATGAGATCGTTCAGTGGTACCTGCAAGTCCTTGGCAAGTGCCCCTGCTACCCCAAATGAGATCCCGCATTTATACATAGGCGGTCCCTCTAGTTTCTCAAATGCAGTTGTGCGATGTAGTGCACGCATGGACGTAAGCTCAGTGATCTTGGGAATGCAGGGTCAGACGGGATTGACACGGGACTAGGCATGGCACTTACAGCGGCGTAAATATGCACTCGCCCCAATTCTGTGTCGGTGTGCTCCCCTGGAAGTTCAAAGCAAGGTTCGTGAGGCCGGTTCTCGATATCATTCTCCTCCAAGAGAGCGCCAAGAATTGCGAGAAGTCTATCCAGTGGGAATACTACAGGGCCAAGTAGTCTTTGTGTGACCTTTGATTTGCCTCTGAATCACATACAGTGTGAAAGAAGAATGAAAGTACCTTTGCAACAGTTGTCTGCGCCCCGACCTTTTTTGGCGACACAGATTTCCGACGTCGCCGTTTTTGCTTATCTGCTCCGCGACCAAACATTCGCACGTCACTCTTGGCAGGATTCGTCGAGGCCAGGAACGCCGCGAGTAAGATGAACTTGGACATCCGTGGTAAGTGGTCAACAACGATGCTCCCTTCCGTGTTTGTTTGACGTTGTGCCTCCTCTGATGCTTGCATGTCAGGGTCATTGATTACCGCCCAATCCGTAGCATTGGTCAAGCGTGGATAGAGTACATCGAGTGCCGCCGTCAGAGAAGGAGTGAAGAACTTGAGCAATCTCATACGGCCGTCGGAAGCAGGGAGTGTCAGTTCATTGCGTGCTCCGTCTGGGTCTGGTTCACCACCTCCACTAGCCTCGCTTTGCTCCTGCAACACAGGCTTAACAAACCCAGGCCATCGTGCAGCGGCAATATACTGCAGTTCCCGGATATCAGTTGTGTAGAGAGAGCAAACATTGTAAACGTGTTCCACATATTGTTCGTACAACGGTAGCAGCGATGGATGGTATGTCATATCCTGCGTGTTCATACGTGCCTGTGTTGTGGACGTAAAACGAAACCCAACAAGAAGGCTGTCAATTGTATCTGAAGAGATGCCGCCAATGACCCTGAGATCATACCAATTGGATACGCGTGATTGGATACTTACCTTGCTTGCTTGGAGGGCCAATATCGATGAAGTAGGGATCTGGGGATGCGCCAAGAGGTGGCTTGATATCCTCCCATCGCACAGAGGACAGGAAAATAGTCGTAATTTTTACCTGTGACTGTAAGCATATATTGTCAGTCAATGTTTGCCCTTGGGATGTGAGACGCACGGTTTGGTCAATGGTAAAAGTGAGACCAGACCACTCACCAATTCTGCGAGACGTGTGAGAGGAACGATAAGGTCCGGGAGGTTGTCCTTCAGTCTTTCAGCTCTCTCGATAAGGAGCACCATCTTCGGTTCCTCATCTACAGTTCTATCCTTTCCTTTACCCTTTCCTTCCCAGGATTTGTTGTGTAGATTCCGCAGCCCATGTAAAAAGCTATCAATATTGTCGTTGTACCTTTTCCCATCCTCACCAGGCCAATTTTGACATCCATTCTCCCAGGTCACTTCCCATCCTGCGAGTGCGTTAAGTACGGTATCATACAACAACCGCGCTGTAAAACAAGCGGTCGCGTTTATGTGCGCAAAATGTGTAAGAGAATAGTCTCCACTATTGCGATAGATCTGATTGAGCAGTGAGGCTGTGATGCGCGGATTGCGGCGGTCGGTAATGTACAAGAATGGGAGAACGAAGGATGATGTGACACTTGTGATGTGCGAGGTAAACTTTTCATAGCCAGGAAATTGTTCAAAGAGCCGAGACAGTGAGTTGGTTTCGTCCAGGGCCATTGCTATACTTTTGTACTGTACAAGCGGCGTTGATGGCAGATGCCGATACTCCGTCGGTAAATGATGGTTGTTGGATCTTGTTGGATTGAGTCAAAGGATATGTCCGTTACCAACTGTCCACCATCCACCCGGTGTTCGTAAATCGAACCAGGCTAACTGTACAAATCTGATATGTATGTACTAATCTTAAGAGAAGAATTGAGCGTATCATGGAGAAGGAATGACAAGCATGACCAAGATGCAACCATATATATAGTATGCCATATCTGCTGGCTATATTACACATGCACATGCATAGAGGGGGATGATACTGCAGACACAGTAATTTCCGTCGCCCTCTCTGAATCAGCATACAACTGAACGACGGTGTGCTCTGACTTCCCTATTCGTTCGTTGCCGTTCCCCTCTGTTAAGTGAGATACATTCCCTGCGAATGCTAGGGATGTAGTAGGCATCGCGGTAGTTGGTCTCGACCACTGATTTGAAACTGCCCGCCCCTGTGCAACACGAATGATGATGAACAATTGGGCAATGCCCTGGAATAACTAGTATCATAGACACATAAACCCAGATTTGTCTGCTTACCTGTATTTTGCCAATAGCCAGGAAACATAGAGTGGTGAGACCGATTAAATACATACCAAAGGCAACTATAAAAGCAATGGCGAAGATAGTGTATAACCCTGCGGACTCGACAACCATGAGGGCAATGGTATCGTATGTTCTTGAATCATATTGGGGTATGATCTCCCTCATACGCCCTCGCATGACGAACAAGCGATTTGTTACGAGAATGGTATAGATAACGGTGAGCCCTACTTCGACACAGAGGTAGGCGAGCTCGACGATGATGTTGTAAAATTTGGCGCCAGTGCTCGCCTCAACCATGACAGTGATGGATAATGCTGCGCAAGATGTTAGTGATTGGTGTCGCTTGGTGAATGATAGACTGCACCGATCATGGTAACATAGAGTGAGATCATCGGGACCACCACCCATCTTGACCAATTCCATATCACAAAACATCGATGGAGCTAAGAATTTCAAGCATCAGGCTTGTGGTGGACGATCTGGGGAAACAGTTGGCTCACAAGCAGGAGTTGCATAAACCACTCCTGGAGGTGACCACTAGACGAGGCGTCAATACTAGAGATCTGGAGGTGGATAGACAAGGTCACTTACACGACCAGCGCTATAAAGTTGATACGATAACTCATGTAGTTCTCGATTAACGCGAAAGGACCACCAGGTGTATCACGAAGATCAATCCAAATCATCTCCGTATACTTTGCGTTCATACCAAAGCTTATCGTCGTCAATACGAACGTGATAAAAACGTAGAAAAGAAGCGCGTAACGATGATCTGCAATTTTTCCCCCATGTCGAGGCCGTTGCATGAGAGCGTTCCAGGCTTGCACTGTAAGGACAAAGTACATGCCTATTGTGATACATAAATCAACTTCCGGAGCGTCGCATATGGACCGAAAACATACCGTAGAACACACACGATAACATCATTCCATCGAGGCGAAATCTTTCAATAGAGAGATTTGTCTGTGGGATGTGGGATGTCATGACTAAAAACGGGTCACCGAAAGAGGGTTAAGATAAAATAGATATCCGAGCTCTCAGTCTGTGCTATATCCACAGGCAAATGGTTAAGAAAACGATTGGACGGTCGCAAGTGACGGGCAGGGAATATGCAAAGGTTATATGGAGAACTTAGAATGAAGGGGAGACATGAAAAGTAGCAGCCACACGAAGGTTACTTAACGTTGGAGATGTCACTCACACAGTTATCAAAAATTGACATTTGGGACCCCACGGTGAGACCAAGATGGTACTGAAGCCTTGCTTGATTCTATATTCAAGTTGTTGTTAATTTCAAGACTGCGCAATTATAAACGCCACCGTGAAATCCAACCTTAAATTATGACTCATCCACTTGCAGGATGGACGGCGAAGTGACAGCAAAGGGGGACAAGGAACCGGAGAAGTTCGAACCAACTCGAAGTACAATGATTGTCGCATATTACTTGTGCCCGAGAAAGTCTGTGCGAGGCATTGATTGACGATGAGACTGAGTACCAGTGCAGAATGAAATAATTGCCTAGAACCCGGTCGCTTTATCTTGAATTGAGTCAAAGGATACGTCCACTATTACCAACTGTCCGCCCAGCCACCCGGTATTCATAAGTCGAACCAGGCTAAATGTACAAATCTCACATGCATATGTATGTCCTGATCTTGGAGAAGAATCGAGCGTATCAGGAAGAAAGAATGATAAGCATGACCAAGATTGACCAAGATGCGACCATATTATAACTTGGACGGAGCGATTTGTCGACGCCATGTGCGAAGCTCCACTTTTGCCTGATTTATATATGCTTACGTGTCGAACTGTGTATAGTTATGCCTTTTAGCGCGCTGATTGTATTTGTTCAATCGTGTCTCTTCGCATCAAACGCTCCAAATCACTTTTCAATGCATACAGCTGCAGGTGCCGTTGAGCTTTGCCCCAGTAATCATCATACACAACCACCGTTGTTCATTGACCCCCATTGGACTACATCGCTTGGTCAATTGTTCGAACGTTCATCCACATCAAGGATCGTCGATCGATTGATCTTTCCACCCCTTTCTCGCTCCGTGATTATCTCGCCATGTTAACGCATTCTAATACCCCTCCCCGGCGCCTCAATCTCCAGAAATCTGCCATAAGGTAAACGCCATTAATTGTTTGTTGCTATAACAAATCAACATTGTACGCCCGTCCGCAGGCGAGCGGACTGCTTGTATATAGTATGTTATATCTGCTGGCCTATATTACACACACACATGCATAGAGGGGGATGATACTGCAGACACAATAATTTCTGTCGCCCTATCTGAATCAGCATACAACTGAACGACGGTATGCTCCGGTTTTCCTATTGGTTCATCGCGGGTCCCCTCCGTTGAGTGAGATACATTCCCTGCGAATGCCATGGTTGTAGGAACTGGGGCAGTTCGTCCCGACCACTCGTGTGTAACTGCCCGCCCCTGTGCAACACGGATAATGATGAACAACTGGGCAATGCCCTGAAATAACTAGCATCATAGACACAGCTAACCCAGATTTTGTTTGCTTACCTGTATTTTGCCGATAGCCAGGAAACATAGGGTGGTGAGACCGATAGAATACATACCAAAGCCAATTATGAAAACAATAGAGACGATAGTGTATAACCCTGCGGACTCGACAACCATGAGGGCAATGGTATCGTATGTGCTTGAATCAAATTGAGGTATGACCTGCATCATACGCCATCGCATGACGAACAAGCGACTTATCACGAGAACGGTATAGATAACGGAGAGCCCTACTTCGACACAGAGGTAGGCAAGCTCAATGATGATGTTGTAAAATTTGGCACCAGTGCTCGCCTGCACCATGACGGTGATGGATAATGCTGCTCAAGATGTCAGTGATTGGTGTCGCTTGGTGAATGATAGACTGCACCGATCATAATAACATAGAGTGCGATCATCGGGACCACCACCCTTCTTGACCAGTCCCATATCACAAAACATCGATGGAGCTAAGAGTTTCAAGCATCAGGCTTGTGGCGGACGATCTGGGGAAATAGTCGACTCACAAGTAGACATTGCATAAACCACTGCTGGAGTTGACCACTAGACGGGGCGTCAATACTAGAGATCTGGAGGTGGATGGACGAGGATACTTACACGACAAGCGCTGTAAAGTTGATACGATACCTCATGTAGTTCTCGATTAGCACGGAAGGACCACCAGGCGCATCACGAAGATCAATCCAAATCATCTCCGTATACTTTGCGTTCAAACCAAAGCTTATCGTCGCCAATGCGAACGTGATAAAAACGTATAAAAGAAGCGCGTAACGATGATCTGCAATTTTTCCCCCGTATCGAGGCCGTTGCATGAGAGCATTCCAAGCTTGCACTGTAAAGACAAAGTACACGCCTATTGCGATACATAAATCAACTTTCGGAGTGTCGCATATCGACGAAAACATACCGTAGAACACACACGATAACATCATTCCATCGAGGCGAAATCTTTCAAGAGAAAGATTTGTCTGTGGGGTGTGGGATGACATGACTACAAAACGGGTCACCGAAAGAGGGTTAAGATAAAATAGATATCCGAGCTCTCAGTCTGTGCTATATCCACAGGCAAATGGTTAAGAAAACGATTGGACGGTCGCAAGTGACGGGCAGGGAATATGCAAAGGTTATATGGAGAACTTAGAATGAAGGGGAGACATGAAAAGTAGCAGCCACACGAAGGTTACTATTAACGTTGGAGATGTCACTCACACAGTTATCAAAAATTGACATTTGGGACCCCACGGTAGGACTAAGATGGTACTGAAGCCCTGCTTAATTCTATATTCAAGTTATCGTTAATTTCAAGGCTGCGCAATTATAAACGCCACCGTGAAATCCAACCTTAAATTATGACTCATCCACTTGCAGGATGGACGGCGAAGTGACAGCAGAGGGGGACAAAGAACCGGAGAAGTTCGAGCCAACTCGAAGTACAATTATTGTCGTATAATATTATGTGCCCGGGAAAGCCTGTGCGAGATATTGATTGAGACCAAGTATTGCAGAATGAAATGTAACATTACAATTTAACAGCCTGAGTATGCCTACTTCAGCAAGCCTTGTGAGAGACTTGTGATCCACACAGCGGGGAAACTGCCATTTTACCACCTTTCGCCTTACATTCGAAAGATATTCGAAAGTGCTCTGGAGTCTGGAACGATCTAGGGTCTGGAATGGTCCAGATCTGCTTTCGATTGAAGAGGTTAAATGTTGAAACCCCCAATGTGCCAAACGTAGGTTTTATGACTTACGTAATCATGACCCCGAACGGATTCCACTACGTACTGCTTTGCACATTACCCAATACCACCATGATTGCCAGCCTTTTTGTGCGTCGAGCCGGTGTTGCGAGATATCTATACCTCATTATGGGCGTTATTTTGGTTTTATGGTCGTCTATCCTTGCGCTGAGAACGTTACCACCCTTTGTCCATTTTCGCGTGCCTTGGAAAGAAGAACATTACAGCGAGGTTTCGTGTTCTACCAAGAACTCTACAAGGTCCTTCTCTCCCTCATCGACACAGTTGGGTATCGCTTCTCACGTGTATCTCATATCTCTGCCTTGGCGACAAGACCGGCGACAACAAATGGAACATTTGCAAGCATCCAAAGAAATCAATTGGACGGTTGTTGATGCACTCGACCCTTCAGATATTACTATCGGTCGTATCTTCGAGCGGATCGTCTCTCAACGTTCGATGCGGCCCTCCAAAGAACACTGGAACGACTTGGGATTAGTCTTCCGTTGGCCCGCTGATGTCAACGCCATTGCTGCTTCTACAGAGGACTTTGGAGCTTCTGGATCCGACCTCTGGACCTCTTCTGCGGACACTCAAAATAGCCGACATACTACCTTGTCCTCTCTTGGTGTTTCGCAACACCCGAACGTCACGTGCGCAACTCAAGATCACTCTGTACCGTCTTTCAGCCCTAGCCTCCCGGACTGGATGATCCTCACTGCGCCAAAGATCTCTTGCTGGTATTCCCATATCTCTGCCGTTCGACAATTCATTGATAGAGTGAATACCACTCCCGAGGATGTCGCCGTTTTCTTGGAAGACGATATCGATATGGAAAAGGACATCGAAATAAGAATGCATCACATCTGGCCCTCTCTCCCACATGGCTGGGACATGGTTTTTCTGGGTGAGCGCCGGTTTCAATCTGTCTCCGATTGATGCTATATCGTATTCCTCAGGTCACTGCTGGTCAAACGAATCTTTCTATCCTGCACTTCCATCGTCTCAGGTCATGTCTCCGTTATATGACCTGTCAACACGGTCACACATACACCCATCTTACTCTCCACGTTGTACTCATGCTTACGCCCTTTCCCTGTCCGGTGCTCGACGTCTTCTGCAGCATCTTCGCTACCCGCCATTCGCGTATTCCAGAGCTCTTGATCAAGCTTTCAGTTGGCTTATCGAAAGTGGCCGATTACGTGCTTTCAGCATCGTTCCAAGCGTCGTTATCCAGCGTAAGGTCCTGTCGAGCGACATATTTCCAGGATCCAGTGTGGGGAGTGCGTGGAGAGAGCATTTAGTGTACGGTGTGTTCGGAACATAGAACAAACGCCAGTTTGTCGTCTTTTTATTGACCTGTCCTCTGTTGTATCGCCAGTCATTTGTATGGATCTGATTTCTATCTCACTTCAGTCATTGTTTGCTGTCTTCAAACTGCTGGGGCCAACCCGACCCTGTAGTCCAAAATAAGGGAAACCCGAATAACTGGTGCACTGTCAACACAACATGTAATCGAAAATCTCGAGCAGTCGGCAAGTCACAATTCTTCTCGCTGTCTCGAAACCGATACCAAGTCTAAGTCAGAAGATTTTTTTTTCGCAATTGCATATTGGATGCCTGACATGGAATCCCTCGTGAAAGCGCATGGCTAACAAGAATAAGAATAACGTATCACTGCCAGCAGTATCCATAATTCGTGAGTTATCGTGATCCATGCTTTATTTCGGTCGCTCCTTGCCGGTTTGTCTAAGGTTATCACCGCGCATATTGACTGCTGTTCCGCATCTCCTCCCGTAGTGCCACAAGACATTAAAAACTAATACTTTTTGAGGCGTTCTGTTGTGCCTGAAGCAGGGAAACCAGAGTATCTGACTCTGCTGCTAAAAACGAGTGTGCATGAGGTAGTTACACTCGCTAAACTGTCAGGAGTCCTCGGGTATGGCCACGCCGAACCATTATGTGAAAACGGAGGCAGAAAGAAGTGACGCTGGACCTGACAGGGCAGAGTGGTAGGAACGAGAGAGAGAATACGAAAGGTTGAACGAGTGGCGGTAAGGTTGTTGCAGCATAACGAGAGTCGCGTAGTGGTTTTGACAGATTCGGAAACAGCGGACTAATAATGGGGTGACAGCAACGAGAACAAGAGAATGAGGGTCGACAGCGATGAAGGGTTTAGTAAAAGCGGGGACTTGGACAACTCTGGATGACGACGGCGGTGATAATGAAGGAAAGGAAAAGGATGGTATGTGAACTTGCCAAGAAAGAAAAAAAGTCTCGGCCTTATCTTCACTGTCTCTGAGAGCCCGGGCCCCGTTTCCACGTATGAAGAGGTTTTCGAACAGAGGGAGACTCTGTTATTTCATCCTTTGCTCGACATAGTCACATAGAGTTCGAGATAGTTGCCATGATCGGTTTAAACTTTAGGATTCTAGTGGAGAAAGGGTTCTGTTGACGGCGACACCGTGAGTTATGCATTGGCAGATTCGGAAGAACATCGTGGCATGCAGAGGGCAACGTTTAGATTGAGCTCGGCTGGGGCACGGCGATCAGAGCATTCATAACATGTAATGATCAGCCAATACAATGTGCTACCACTCATCGATTAACCAGCTGTTGGTTAGAGAGGCAACTCCAAATCAAAGAAGTAAAGTAGAGCGGTTTCGGGACTGAACGTACTGAACGGGCGCTCGCGTGTTGACTCTAAACAAGTACTGTTGTTGCCAGTCGATTGGTCGAGAGCCTCGTCTATCAATGAATCATACCACCGTGCCATCACCCAGAGTTGTCCACGTGATTTCGAGACAAAATCCAAGTGAACGTCACAGCCACAATTTCCTTTTACGTTACTGACAGTACTAGTACAAAGACAACGTCTGTGGAATGCAAGCCGTATACTAACATCAATTGATAGCAGTTCAAGCGAGTTCCCACTCTTCCCCGTCATCGGCGTAAAAGAGCTGCCTCATGTCCGAGCTCTGATTATCCATACACAAGGTAGGCCCCACGGCGAATTTGTTCAAAAGGTCACTAAACTTTAATCCCAACCTAGGAGCATTTGAAAGCATCACTTGACTGTTGTCTGTGACGTGAACGGACAGATCAACGGTGGTCAATGTGATAACGATATCATCAGAGCCAATCATGACCATCCCTGCACTGTCCTTGTCAGAGATACTAACACGGAAGCGAGTGCGTTCGGTGCGTGAAACATAGACCGAGTTTGGCGTGTTGCCGTTAGACGATAGGGGACAGTACCAGTACTCGTAAGGAGAGGCCTTAGAGCGAATGAAAAAACTTTGGTAGAGCCGCTATCAGCCAAATGTGAAATATCCTGTGAGAAACGACTCACGACTTCCCGCTAATGTTGTCCATGCAACCAGACGACGACGGGATGATGCTCAAGCCGCGACCACCTAGGTCGTTCATCAATGTGAAAAACACCTTTCCAAGGAATTGAGTCGCAACCCCAGTCGTGGTGAGAGAGTTAGCGGCGTTGGCCTGCCGCACGTCATGGGTGTAGAATTGGGAGTTGACACGCCGAACACTGTCCGAGAAACTAACGACGGAGGAAGTGGACACGGCACGCCACCACTCATCGGCAATTGCGTAGTCGGCGAAGGTGATCACATATCGATAGGTCGAGTTGTCATTGATCTGAATGATGGTTTAGCGCGACATCGCAGACATTAAGGAATGAATTTTGGGCGTACGTTTTTTACATATGCGTAGTGGACCATAATTGTACGTCGGGAGATGATTTTTTTTTGTTCTGTTTGGATTGATACGAATCACTCGAACAATGTTATATAGAGAGAAAGTTGTTTGGTCGAGTTGATCGTGATACTAGGAGTTTCCACGAAGCAAGTTGCTAGCGATGTGTCAGGTTCGGGGCTAGGCTAACCTAGGCAGGGCTTTCGAGGGTGACTATGTCACTCTACATCGACACCCTTATCGCCAAAGGACGGGGTCTTGAGTCTGTTCGCGGCAATGAGTGGAAATGTTGTCGTAGAGTGAGATAGCCAACCACTTCTAAGTCCGAGGTGATATCAGCCACCCTGTTCGCGAGCCTCGAGCCTCAACTACAACAATCTCATGTTCCTTTCATATCAATTGCCCAGAACAAAGATGTGATCAACAGCTTACGGGGAAGACTTGAATTATGACACATCCAAATTCTGGACTCTGTACGGTCTTGAGGGCATCTTCGAAACGACCAGTCTGGGGCCGGAGTTGGGGCCAGATTCTGGGTGAAGTCTTCTAGTGTTTCCGAGGCACCTTATCAACGTTTAGTATGCAAAGACAAATTTATGACGACCACGACGTAGTCCTTAGGAATGGGATTTAGTCCATCAATGACCTATCGAACGACCCATACATGGGCATATCAGGTTGAGATCTTTGGCGGTATGGAGTTATGATTGGACGCGGCGAAAGACCAGAAGCAACGTCCAGACGTCAGAATCGAAAATTTCACGGAATTTTGTGGAAGCAGCAAGGGCATTGATATCAGCGAGAAACTGGGCCTAAGTTGTCCCGGGAAAATGCGCTGGGAGCGTGGTTGATAGAAATTTCTGAAGTGTTGAGTGAATCAACAAGCGACGGTATCGAGGATGAGTACTCCAAGTTGAGTAACCACTAGAACGAAGATGGACAGCAGTCTCAGCGAGGAGTGTAAAGGGAAGTTTGTGGCGGAGTGTCGGTATTGAAGTCGTTCGGTTATTCATAGTGCCTGTCCGGGGTTACTTTACGCCTGTACAGTTCAACATTCAGGCCTGCGGGAAAGAAGTTTGGAAGCTCATCAAAATTTTTATTCAATGGTACTAGGGCATATGGTAGTTCGGGTATAATAAGTACGAACTTGGACTGCCTGCGCATTTGCTGCGCACTACAGACAACTACGGTCATGTTCGATTCTCTACAGTATCTCGACACTGCACTGGTAAAACTTGCGCCTGCCTTGCCTCTTGGCCTCTTCCTTTTCTGGTACTTACGGCCTCCACCACGCCTCGCTCAGATCCCACCAAGACAAGAGAGAGTTCTCATATTAGGTGCGACGAGCGGAGTGGGTCGTACCCTTGCTCATCAATATGCGAAAAGAGGTGCACGAGTATGCTTGGTAGGACGGAGGGAGTCAATGCTTGAGGGGGCTGCTGAGGAATGCAGGGAGGTATCCCAAAGCGATCGTGTTTTGTGTGTGCGTGGAGATTGCGCAAGCGTGGAAGACATGGCAAAGGTGCGCGATGCAGTGATCAAAGGTATGCATCATAGTCCTTTTTGTGCCGCACAGTCACTCAGGTGACGTGTCAGAGTGGGATGGCATCGACACGATCATAATCACGGCTGGTGTTTCTGCCCTTCAACCATTGATGTCAGTTGCTGGAGTAACTGCTTCCAAAGACGGTTTCTCTCCACCACATGCCACTACTGAAGCCATTCACAACGCGGTTGGTGTCGCAAAAGCAGCTATCAGTGGCAATTTCTTCGGTCCATACATTGCTGCGATCACATTTGTAAGATTACATTCCCGTGCAACACGTTGACACTCATGAATGTTCAACCTACTAGATACCTCTTCTCACGTCTTGTTCCATATCACCGTCTATCCTTCTCCTTTCAAGTGTGGCAGCAATCATTCCTGCGCCAACACGCACGCTCTACGCTTCTACCAAATCAGCTTCCCTAGTACTCTTTCAGGCGCTCGCAATTGAGCACCCCCGTATATCATTCACGTCCTTCCTTCCTTCAACGATTGAGGGGGACTTCCGCGCGTCCGCGGTCGACACACCGCCCAATTCTTCCCCCGTTATACATGAGGCTGACCCAAACAAACATGGCTTGCGCCGCGAGGTGGTGGCAACACGTTGTATCCAGGCCATTGATCATAAAGAGAAGACAGTCGTTATGCCCCAGTACATGCGAATTGGACAAATTTTATATTGGATCTGGCCAGCATGTGTGGAGTGGAGAGCAAGGGTGAAGTACAATTTTAGGTGAGCGCAGATCAATCTCATTTGTGGCACGCCTGATTCCTTTTTGTCTTAGAGCCGACTAGGGATTCCTTAGATTCTAAATCTCTCGTATGGATAAATCGACAGCTTTAGAAGCCATACTCGGAACCGATTTACACCAGTCTGCACGATACAGATAGGATCACGTGTTATGAAAGTCGTTTTTACCCCCTAACAAGCGCTTCGAAGTGCTCCGTCCACCTTCTGACATTTTCTACCGAGAATTTATGATCTTAGCAGGCAGCTCGTCGACATCGATTGGGGAGGTGCATTGACCAAACACGCGGCGGTAGGAGTAATAAGTCCGAATAAGAAGTACAAAAACCACCCTCTGGGTCTTTACTGCCAAAAGGGAAGACAGAAACCGGAAGATCTCTAAAGCTGTCTTCTTGATCAGATGTGGTCACGCCTACAATATCAATTCACTGATGCACACTCGTATTCCTCACTCAAACTGCGCCAGACCACCGCGACTATAAAACTTTCGCTGCAATCTTAGTACTACTACTTTACCTTTACCCACCAGCTGTTGTGCTGAATCTTGCGAGTCCTTATGTGCATGATCAAGAAGAGCTTTAGAGGATTGTTTTCTCAGGTCTGGACTCTACGTTTGGAATATGACTAGGCATTGACGATTCTCCTCGTTATCACCACAGAATACTTGCTCAAATACTCGATCTCTCATCCCATCCCTTATCGCAAAATTGCAACCTAGGACAAACAGACATTGACATCCTATGACGTGCAGGTGAGTTATGTGGTTGAATCCTGGTTGCACAGCAACTTGCTCGTACTCACGTTGTAATCTACGCAATCCATGTTGAAGCAGCAATCGGATTTTACTGTGCAAGTTGTGTTGCTACATGCCGCTCTGACAGACATAGATGCCGACAAAGAAATAACAATGGCAGGCAAGGATAAACGCATTTTGCGTGCGAGGTGATATGGAATCTTCTGAGAGGGATTTCGTATGATATCTTTGAGGATGGGAGAACACTATAGGACGACGGCCAGTTTTTATATCTTGCGTGTAAATTTTCGTCCTCTTGTTCCGATCTCATTCTTTTAACCTGCAGTGACCTTGCCCTGCTAGGTGTCATTTCGTCACCGTTTGAAATTCAAACACATCTAAGGTCATAGCTAGTTGGCGGTGCGCCCTGGCCGCTCTCAAAAAATCGTTGTTCCGGCATTGACCTTAAGGAATGTGAGAATTTCCTGATGTTGTCTTCGTCATCACCACAGAACACTCGCTCGAACCCCCCGGTCTCCATCCTGGTTTCGCACTCATCACGAACCTGCAATTTGCCTAGGTGACGCTGTACGTCAACGAGGTTGAAGATGATCCTTCAACTTCTCAACCTCGTCGACGTGCGTCATCGTGAGCATGGTTCGAATTTGTAGCGACGTGCTGCTCGAGCTGCCGGCTCAATTTTCATTTTTGGACGAACAGACTAGAACAACTCCTGTAGCCTATGTGCCCTAGACCCGGAACTCTGGTCTGATCCACCCACTGTTCTACGTCTAGGCAACTTCTCAAACCAATCACATCATGTCATCGACTACTATATCTAGAATTCTCCGGTATCAGCTGCGTCAACCGCGCGCACGCAAAGCTACTACCGACCCATCCATCGACATCCGAAACGAAGAGGCTGGGTCTATTCGTACTCTATAAGTGGGTCAGCCTTATCCTCTCTGGTCTCGGCTCCGGGAGATGCACCACATCGTGCAGCGTCCCCCGCCGGAACGCCCGCCCGCTCTTATAGTGACGTGCTGATGGCGTGTATGCCCCCGATGCCAGGTGCGCTCGGGGAGACACCCGCTCGTCCAGCGAACGGGACAGCGGAGACCATGCCTTCTGACGAAAGAAGGGTGGAGCCTACCCAAACTATGAACATGAAAGACCATATTCCTACGCAGCTGTTGTACTACATCCACATAATCAAATTCTAGCTTCTGAATCACCGACGACCTCTTCTATCCCGACCCCCACTACTCCCTCTTCTACTAACACCGACAGCGCGTTCCTCACGAACAAACTTACAGATGCACAACACAGACAGGTCTCCTGGACTGCTATTGCTGTAACCGTATCTCTAGTTCAAGGTGCCATCACAACTTTTGTCGAAATTTGCGAGTTCGAAGGTTTATGGACAATCAGATTCAATTTGAGCAGGAGGGAACGTCTCTGGTGGTCAGCCATAGCCATCGCTCTCACTTCTTTAGGCTGTACTTAGGAATCTCAACGACATTACAGGTTTCGCAAATTTCTGATATGGTTGGCGACACACTGTATCCAGGCCATTGGTCATAAAGAGAAGACAGTCTTTATGCTCCAGTACATGCTATCTGAATTGACTCAAACTCCGCGCCGGAGAGACGATTACTAGCTGGACTGCCAATCGTCAGTAATCTTCTGACGGCCATCACGCGATACATTTCAACGACTTACTTTTGAACGCTCTCTCAGAAGGACTGTGTAGCTGACGCAAAAACGGTTAGCAGTAGGTATAGATGATCGTTGATGTGATTGCGACATCAGTAGTGATATTTGTTGATATTTGGACGTTAGACATTTAGTGTCACTCCGAGGTTCCTCGTTTTGTCGGATTGTCCATCAGTCGTTTCGCTCAACGTCTGTGTTCACGTCATTAGTAAGTACTACTACTTTACCCTTACCCACCAGCTATTGTGCTGAATCTTGTGAGTCCTCATTCATATGATCAAGAGAGCTTTAGAGGGTCGTTTGTTCAGGTCTGGACTCTACGTTTGGAACATAACCAGGCATTGACAGTTCTCCTCGTCATCACCAGAGAACACTCGCTCAAACACTCGATCTCTCATCCCATCCCTCATCGCAAAATTGCAACCTAGTCCAAACAGAGATGGACACCCTATGACATGCAGGTAAGTCATGTGGTTGAATCCTGGTTGCACAGCAACTTGCTCAGACTCACGTTGTATTTTACGCAATTCATGTTGTAGCAGCAATCGGATTTTACTGTGCAAGTTGTTGTGCTACATTTTGATGCTCTGCCAGTGACAGACTGTCTGTCACTGGCAGAGCATCAAATAGATACTGACAAAGAAATAACAATGACAGGCAAGGATAAACGCATTTTGCGTGCGAGGTGATATGGAATTTTCTGAGGGGGATTTTAAATGATATTTCTGAGGACGACGGCCAGTTTTTATATCTTGCGTGAATTTCCAATCCCTTGTCCTCGTCTCATTATTTTAACTTGCAGACCTGGCCGTGCCAAGTGTCATTTCGTCACCGTTTGAAATATAAAGTCATAGCTAGTTGGTGATGCCCGGCTGCTCTCACAAAACTGTTGTTCCGACATTAACCTTGAGGAATTTCCTGATGTTGTCTTCGTCACCACCACAGGAATGTGTCTCACGTACGTCGGTTGTCACACCAAACGAACCTAAGCACAGCGTGCCACATGTCACACACCCCCTTCGAACCTAGGGCCTAAATGCCTATCTCTACAGTATTCTTTGTAAATCCGTACTTAGACAGACGAAAACTTTGTAACATTGTGTTGTCATTAACTTGTGTTAGTGACCTATAGTTCCCAGAGCTAATTAGCATTAATTTCGACAGCTTTCGAAAATCTGTCTAAATAGCTCTAAGCTAGTTTACACGGGAATGTTTTCCTGACTCTCGATTGACCACAGACAACATGAAAGTAGAAAAACGACCCACTGTTACCAACGCGCTCAGTTTTCTGACTTTTTGGCACATTTCTTCAAGTTGCTGGCAGTCTATTCAAGATACAAGATACAAAGGGTAAGTCATGGAGTTGAATCCTGGATCCAAAGCCGATGGATACTCACATCCAATTTGCATGTAAAGCCGGGGCAGCATGGGTATTGCTGGCCCGGGCCGCAAAGTGTGGTATCTACAAGACATGTCCAGAGGCTGTCGGCACTGACCGACATAGTAGATGTCGTCAAAGCAGCAGCAGCTTAAAGGAGGAATGAAAAATGCATGTCTCTTGCTAGGTAATCTGAGATGCGACGTCGAGGGGATCCTGATTGATAATTCTAAGAGTTGACAGCTTGCTTATATATCCCATAAATCGTGCTTTTGGGAAGCTCGCTGGGTCTGGTAGGTCTATCAGCCAGAATGATTATGGCCGGCAAATTTACATGGGCAGAATAAGTAGTCCGCAGATAAGCAATCTAAACTGAAGGCATATGACTTTACAACAACCTCTAGATCCACGGTAATGATAGGAATGATGAAGCGACATTAATGCCGATGTGACTCCCCGCCACCACAAAGTAGGTTATGTATGACAGAAGGATTTTCTGTCCTTCAGGAAATTTTCAACTTTTGTAGGCAGCTTGAAATTACTGTAGTGGTGGTGTGGTAAGAATTTAAATGTCCTAGAACGACTTCGCGAGAACGAGGTCTCATCAAAATCAATGTCTTGCCCTATGGAAAGCTGGACGTGCGCGCTCCGTTACTCGCCGTGACATAACCCAAATAAGGCAGTCACAGGACTGGGACACCGTACACCTCGAATGGGAACAAAGCAAGATTTAAAATGTATTTAATAACATACATAGCGAGTGCATCAGGAAAACTACCAGTTGCTTTTTTTACTTTATTTGTCACTTAATTACACGAAAAGGGACGCATAAGTCGATGGAGTGAAAAAGCGCGAGCCACTTAATTAAGCCCACTCGTCCTCTGGATTTTTACTTAATTCACTTAAATAAGCAGAAAAAGCAGTTTAAGCATTTGATAGCAGGATAACGAGGATACATAGAAAGCGTGATAAGCATGAAATTAAGGAGACTCTCAGTAACATAAGGAACTGGGGGAATGGGGGAAAAGGTGGGCATGCAGGCAAAAAAGCAGTCAGCGGCAGAAAACATGATAGCAGAGCTGGCGGAAAACATGATATACGGCAGAAAACAACCACAGGACAGCGAAATTCATGCACTGGCAGGTGCTGCAACAAAAACAAAATCCTGCAACAATGGATGTCAGTGAGAGGGCGCCTGAATGATAAATACTTACAAATCATAGCACGCTTGTCATCCTCCGACTCGTCATCGTCAATCAGCGAGCCCAACGGTGTTTCAGTGACATCATTCAAGGTGGTACGCGCCATCTGTACTGTAGTTTCGAGGTACCCAGCAGGCTTGCCTAACAGAGATTTGATGTACGAATTAGTTGGTTTAAGCCAGAGAGCTGCCGAAAATAAAAACGGAATGTTGGTCTTTTTCCCAGTAACTTTGTTGAGGACCTTCGGTAGCCTGATGCTAACCCGACCTCTTGATGCGGATGACAGAACATTTTGAACTTCGAGTACTTCATTTGCGATCATGGAGACAGCGCGCTCAATCTGAAAAAAATGAGCATGATTAAGCCATTATAGGTTGAACTCACCGCTGCAGCAGAAAGAGCAAGAGGCCGTAACATCCCACTTGTTGCAAGTGCGCACATGTCGAATGAGGGAACCTGCACATAACCGGTGATGGCATTGAGGTGTGCTGTGCCAAATAACTGCAGTACAAAGGGTGAGCAGTATGCAGTAAGTGGAGATGGATTGTCCGGGTCCTCGAACAAGAATGCCCATTCAACATTAAGAGATTTGGCCAGTTTGACAGGATTCACGTCGGAATTTCGTGATAAAAAGTCCATGATGATGACTAGCCCTGTGGAGCCAAAATTGCTGCGCCACTCTGAAATGCGCTGTGCAGTCTGTATAGATTTAGCTCAGGTCGCTAAACCTAGAATTAAACAGCTGACTTACGAGTGAATGTATAACTCCACCGTGAACAACCACTATGTCGAGATCGTTGTACACTGCGTTAAGAACAAGCTGCGCATGATGGAGAAGGACCTCGTCAGGAATACTCCAGATATCTTCATAGCTTCCGGCCCACAGCATTATGGTAGGGATAAAATTCTTCGCCCAGCGCTGATCCATTTGCATCGCTGGAGGTAGGTCAACTGTGCGATAGGCACTGCGTGCTTTGATGTTGTCTGGTGCAGTATCTGCATTCTGCTGGCGTGTGGTAGCAGGAGCACCACGGGCATGTAGTGCGGAAGATTTGACCTTAGCCTTTTTATGAGCTGGCGGCTTGCTGTCGACTATAGCCTGAGATGCAGTAACGGATGTCTGTACATTGTCAGAAATGAGTGCGATTAGGGCCAGAATCCTTACTGAATATGTTGTGCGCAGAATTTTCTCCTTCTTTGCTGCGTTAGTTTTGACAGGGAGCGGTGCCTCCGAATCAGAACTCATGATTGCGTCTTCTACCAGTTCCGCATTGCCATCAATCTCCATGGACCAGGACACCAAAGACTCCTCATCGTCTATGGTGCTAGCTTTCCGCTTCAAGAACATATGATTGTCTTCCTGTGTGAATGGCGCCTTAGGCTCCTGTGAGTACTGCTCCTCCGGTAATACTTGTGTCGACAGAGCCATAAGCTCATCATCCGAGTCGTCTGATGCCTCTGGTGGAGCCTCAGGCTCATCGACATCATAGTCCCTCTTCGTATAGCGTGACAACCTGTGAAAGAAGGAATTAGTAGATTCGGATGCTGGCAATGAATCACTGCCAATAGTACCTTAGATTTCCCCTTGTTTTTCTTGCTCCCCAAGAGAGCATCCTCACGCTCCAACGAATCGTCGATATCATCTGCAAACGCGCCAGTAAGAGTATCGTCTGCGACACCATCCGGAATTTGAGGCAAAGCTGCAGGAATCTTAGTCGGAAGCTCAGCGGCTGAAGTCGGTGCGGAGGAAGCATTGCCCTCTGAGAAAATTGATGACGGAGGTGCTCGAGTTGAAGTGCTATCAATGGATGGACATGACAGCGGCTCTGGATTTCCAGGTTTGACCCCTGAGATCCAGTTGGTCACTCGGCCACCTAATGCAAGTTTTGTGGATGTGTTGATACTGGAAGTAAGGTTTAGAAAAAAGAGTGTCGATTCAGTGAGGAGCAACATGGTAATGTGAGAGATAAAAGCCTTACGGTGATTTCCCATCAGCACGTGCATCATCACCTTCCACTTTTGACTCGGATGATTCAGTGAGCTTCTTTTGCATGTTACTGATGGCATCCCTTATCAACGTCTTTTCGACTTTCTTCGTCACCATCTTTTTCCCCCTTCCTGCAGCTTTATTTTCCACATCCCTGGCAATGTCAGTCTCTGACACTAGGTCCTCCAACATACCACTATCAGCAGGACTGTCACCACCACCGGTGTCTCCTACCACAGACTTTTTCTGAGTCACTTTTGGCTTTATCGCCTTGGCCCTAGGCTTGGGCCGAACGGGAGTCGCCTTTTTCATGATCAATTCCTTCTGGGCTTTCTCCATCTCAGCCTGCAGAGCAGCAATACGCTCAACCCCCTTTTGGTGCGCTGCTTCCTTTGCTTCTCTCGCTTCTTTGATGACAAGGTCATCTGCAGCCTTTTGAGCTGGGGATCGCCTCTTGATCTTCGTGTCGAGCAACACCTTAGCAGGTCGGGCAGTTGCAGTCGATGGGCGGGTGCGCCGGGGAGCGTCTGTCATGGACATGACTGTGCAGATGGGGGAGACGGTGAGGGATAAGACTTTGCGGAAGAGGAAAAGAAAAGTAGGGTTTCAAGTTGAGAAAAAAAGTCGTAAGTCCCACCCCCAACAGCTGCCGACTGTGGTAATCGGGGTGTCACCTTTTGTTTAATAGTATCAAACTAGTACTAGTATGTGTGTTCGGCACTTCAAGTTCTCTGCCTTACTTTATTTTACAGTCAAGATGCCCATCGCTCGCAGGGACCATAGTTCTCTCCAGTTTCCCTGCGGTTACTTACACTGCGCACGTCATTTCAAGTCTCAGGGAGGGCGCAAAAAACACTGGAACACCTCACACTCAATATTCGGACCAGCTCCTGCTACCACCAGCGTCTCGCACACCACTACAGTTGAAGAGCAGCCTGAAGTACTGGATGGCCACTTCTCAGCAGGTCATGACAACATCTCTGCAGGCGGTGACAATTTTCCTGCGGGTACATCTGACCCAAGTCAGGCACTTAATGAGCCTGACATTCCAGATAATTTGAACGCAGAATTTTTTGGGCCGGGTGATAGATTATACCGCAACTATCACCCAAAACTAAATGGTATGTTTCACAAAGTCCTTCCAGCTAGTTACAACTAACACGTATATCAATATAAGCTCGTCCTTGCGACGTGACAGGACGATTCCTTGCAGATGGAGCGCCCCCGACACCACCTCCAATCAAGTCACCCGATGACTGGGCTCCATATCGAAATCGTGTCGAGTTCGAGACTGCAGAATTTCTGTACACGCGCAACCAAATGTCTGCCGGAGACATCAATATCTTATTGGATCTTTGGGCTGCAACCCTCCTCAAATACAACGACAAACCTCCATTTGCGGACCACCGTGATTTGTATAAAACTATTGACGCTACGCCAGTGGGTGATGTCAAATGGCAATCCCTCAAGGTCCAGTACACTGGGGAGAAGCCCGAAACCAATGTACTACCCTGGATGGACCAATCTCACGATGTCTGGTACCGAGACCCCCATGAGGTTATTCAGAACATGTTGGGGAATCCGGACTACGCTACAGAGATGGATTATCGGCCCTACCGTGAGTATTTGACTGATGGCGATGAACGCCAATGGCAGGACTTCATGTCTGGTGACTGGGCATGGAACCAAGCGGTACGTTGTCTTTCATTGTTTTCTGTCGCTACACATGCTGAAAATTTCAGTAGGAAACTATTTCTGAAGATCCGGATACACTCGGCTCAACGTTTGTGCCGGTTATACTCGGAAGCGACAAGACAACAGTCTCAGTGGCGACTGGTGCCAACGATTACTATCCCTTGTATGTATCAATCGGGAACGTTCGTAATAATGTCCGACGTGCACATCGTGATGCCGTTGCCATTATTGGCTTCCTCGCTATGCCAAAAAGTATGTTTCACACTACTACTATTGTTCTGCGCTAATCACAGTCAAGCAGCTACAGAGGAGCACGCAAAAGACTCAAAATTTCGGAAATTCCGTCGGCAACTGTTTCATTCGTCTGTCGCCAAGATTCTCGAGAACTTAAGGCCTGGTATGACCACACCAGAGGTTGTACGCTTCGGTGACGGCCACTATCGGCGTGTAATTTATGGCCTTGGACCATACATTGCAGATTACGAGGAGCAGGTTCTACTAGCGTGCATAGTGCGCAATTGGTGTCCGAGGTATGTTCCTAAATTATCTCCAACATCCCTCTACCTTAATGCTACTAGGTGTATGTCACATCCTGACAGTTTAGACACGAAGTCACTGTGTCGTCGACGTGACCATACAGAAGCGTTAGTTGAAGAGGCAACCTATGGTGCTTTGTGGATGGAGTATGGGATTGTTGGTGACCTTGTTGTAAGTCTCGCGCATCTTTTCTATCGGAGTTGAGACTCAATCCTTTCTAGCCGTTCACAAACGATTTTCCACGCGGCGATATTCACGAACTTATCGCGCCGGATATCCTGCATCAACTGATTAAGGGAACCTTCAAGGATCACCTAGTCAAGTGGGTTGGACAGTATCTGCAACATGTCCATGGTACGAAAGAAGCGGAGAGAATTCAAGCTGATATAGATCGAAGGTGCGTCACTTTGTCTCGAGTTGATGATTCGAAAGCTCACATCATCAAAGAATTGCTGCGGTTGCTTCATTTGCAGGTCTCCGACGATTTCCAGAAGGTCGGGGATTCAAACAATGGACGGGCGATGATTCAAAAGCCCTCATGAAGGTTAGTTCACTATCACATTAACTAGGATATTGCAACTCGGCTAACAATAATTCAGGTCTATTTACCTGCCATCGAAGGTCACGTCCCAACAGATGTGGTGCGCACGTTTCGCGCATTTCTCGAATTTTGCTATCTCGTACGGCGCAACATCATTACAGAATCTACTTTAGGTCAAATTCAGGAGGCTCTTGACCGATTCCATCATTACAGGGAGATATTTGAATCTACGGGTGTTGTCTTCACGTTCTCTCTCCCTCGGCAACACTCTTGTTCCCACTATGTCCTCCTTATCCAACTTTTTGGTGCGCCCAATGGCCTTTGCTCCTCGATCACCGAGACGAAACACATCAAAGCTGTCAAGGAGCCATGGAGGCGCTCGAGTCGCTACAAAGCCCTTGGTCAGATGCTGGTGACAAACCAGCGCCTCGATAAGCTCGCAGCAGCACGCATTGATTTCAAGAACCGCGGAATGTTAAACGGCACCTGTCTGTCTGCCACACTCAAGGCATTAAGTAAGTTTTATAACAAGTTACATCTTTATTGTTGGCTTAAATTTACACTAGAGCGTTTGCGCTTAAATAAGATGCCTGATGCCAGCCAACCCAACGAGAATAGCGCCACTGGTGCCAGTACTCTTCAACGCTGATGTTACTATACAGGGTGATAACGAAGAGGGCTGAAATTGACAATGGCCCAACACTGGTGCAGGCCCATGTCCAGTTGGCAAAGACCCCTCGTAAGCTATCTCATATTTTACAGTGAACACTCTTCTAATAGAATCGCAGAACGCAAACGCGCACACACTATACCCGAGCTATCCACGGAACTCTCTATCCCCAATCTCTACAATGTCCTCCGCCGCTTCCTATTCGAACAAGTGTACCCAGACGACCAGCACCCTCCCTCTGAAATCCCGCTTTCGAGATGTCCTCGATTTGATGGGAACATCCAAGTCTTTAATTCTGCATCTTCGACATTCTATGCGCCCAGCGACCGCAGTGGAATTGGCGGTATGCGCCGTGAGCATATTCGTGCCTGTCCTATTTGGAGAAACGAGGCGCCCCGGTATGACTGTGTGTTTGTTAACACAGATGCAAGTGTTGAAGGGATGGTGGGCATGGATATAGCGCGCGTAATGTGTTTTTTTTCTTTCACATTCAATGCAGTTTCGTATCCATGTGCCGTTGTGCGTTGGTTTGACAAAGCCAGCGACGGACCCGACCAGGACACTGGGATGTGGATTGTGACACCTTCGTTTGATACTGACCATTCTTTTTCTGTTGGAATCATCCATATTGATTCTATTTACCGTGCCGCACACCTCATTCCAGTCTATGGAGCACAGATCATTTCACGCGACATCAAGCACCATGACTCATATGATGCTTTTCGAGCATTCTATCTGAACAAGTTCGCAGACCATCATGCTTTTGAGGTCGCATCCTAGGTGTTTTGGTCTTCTCGCTCTTGTAAGTTCATTCTGTCCGCTACTCGCATATGTGGTCTAATTACTGCGTCATCAAGTTTGCAGAGGCTAAGCCATGGCGCGTCAGACAGGCTATCATAGAATATATCCCCCTTCTCAACTCTACTTCGACAACGACATGAAAACACGCGTCTCGTCACTCTTGTGCCGCCCCCTCCGAGTCAATATGACCACGGCTCTGCTGTTGCGAGTACAGGTGATGGGGTCATCATCTGCTGTGATCTGCGGCGACTTTTCAGCAAGCACTTCAGATCTAGGATGAGCTTGAGCGGAGTGCTTAGACGACGAGTTTGGTGAGCGCAACTTCTGCGCATTAGGTGAGTCTCCATAGTGCTTATTGCAATGCTCAGACCTAACTCCATCATTGAGTTTGCAGAGGCTAAGTCATGGCGCGTCAGACAGGCTATCATAGAATATATCCCCCTTCTCAACTCTATTTCAACAACAATATGAAAACATGTGTCTCGTCACTCTCGTGCTGTCCCCTCCGAGTCAGGATGACTATGGCTCTGCTGTTGCGGGTACAGGTGATGAGGTCATCATTTGAGGTGACGAAATCTGCATCTGCGTGGTCTGCGGTCATTAGTTTCAGCAAGCGCTGACGGGTGACTTGGACTTGGACTTAGTAGTAGTACTGGTAGTACTACGTGTACCCCACTTATTGCGCTTACAAAACTTTTTCTGCTTTTTGAGCTTTTTTGAATGGTGCCAACTTGTGAACTCTGAATTTGCTTTCCAGAAAGTGCATTAAGTCGGAAAAGTAACACTCCGAGAGAATTTAAGAGACAAAAAGTGAGATAAGTAAGCGGTGGTTTTCCTGATGTGCAAGAAGATCTCTTTCACAGTAGTCCATTGTACATTTCACTGAATCAATCTAAGTTATGTTCATGCTCTCTACCTCATTCAATGTGCTCTCTGCTTCATCAAGGCTTTCATCTTTCTTCCCAAATGGTTCGAGCCCAAACCCCACCCATTCACAGTAAAAATTGCAGATGTGCTTACTTTCAAACTCGCTGACAACCGCCTCGATATTCCCATCACCAAAAATATCACTCCCATCACTAACAGACCTATTGAAATATATTGAGTTGAGTCTTTGTCATTGAAATAAATGAAAAATACATACGGGTGGGTCAGGATCTGAGGGTTTGTTAACAGTGCCGTGCTCCCTAAACATACCATGTCAAATCAAGTGGAGCAAAGTCATGGATGAGATGTACATACCTTGATAATTGGATATGAATGCTAATTTCCCGGTCTTAACATATTGCACATGTTGTGTGAAAACAAAAAACTCCACCAAGTCATAGCCATAGTCCAATGGAGTTACTTGAACGAGGAACAGGATAAGTTGAGAGTGTCCCTACATGAAGCTTAAGTGAGGTACATACCAGTGGACAAGGCTCCCAAGTGTTCTAAGTTTGGCCAGTGAACACTGAAAAGGCATAGATAGAGAATCATTGTCATCAGGAAATTGGGGAGAACATTATTTTGTAGATAGGGTTGACAAAATTAGACCAAAATTTTATCATATTGTGTGCAGTTATATGATAATATAAAATGATGTACAGGCATGAGCAAAGTAGTGTGACAGGATAAGGTATTATAAGAAGGTCACAACTCTGACAGAAATGTGTATTAACTCCTCAGTACGGTCATCATAAGACAAGATGATATATAAACTTTAGCAGAATGGCATGACAAGATAAGGTATTATAAGAAGGTTGCAACTCTGACAGAAATGTGTAGTAATTCCTCATTATGATCATCATATGACAAGATAATATACAAATTTTAGCAGAATGGTATGACAGGATAAGGTATTGTAAGAAGGTTGCCATTCTGACAGAAATGTGTATTAATTACTCAGTACAGTTATCATATGACAAGATAATATACAACTAGATAGTACTGTCCTACATAGAGTACAACTATCCATAGGACATAAATTGGATTCAAAATAAAAAAGATAATATACAAATTGTAGCAGAACACAAAAATAACATCGAAGCCAGGCCATCTGCACAGGCGGTACGAATGAAACTGACGACATCCTCTGCATGTTTCCTTTCATTAATTATTAGGGTCAGCATTCATTGAGAAAGAATATGAAGGGCAGGCATATGGTGGGTCTGTGTCATCCCCATTGTGCGCATTGTGTGCTCAATGTCTTTTGAAACAGTCTGAAATGTGTCCTTGGTGCTGCGTGTACTGAAAGAAGTTAGTTTCCCCTCATAGTAAGTAGTTGTGGAAAGAACACGAGACAGTGCTTTGGATGCGTGTGACGCTCCATGATCTACGGACATGGGTTGTCCTAGCAATTATAAAAGCTGTGTTTGCTTCCTAATCACCACAGAGGAGCGAACAACTTCATACTGAAAGACTCCTATCAATTTGTGACATTTAGTTATTTTTATTTTTGACTTACAATGAACTCATGAACAGCGGTCAGTGTGGGCAGAAATAGGTCTGCTTTGCGCAAAGCAAGGTCAAGTAGTTGGATAGTCTGTCAAATACGGTCAAGTTCACTTCAAATGTCCATCGAAATTCTCATACCTCCTGGACTAGATGCTCAATACCTCCAGTGGTCATTTGTAGCCGATACTTGTAAAAATGATACCCATTGGACACACCTTTATGAGAGGTGTCTTTCTGATGTTCATTTGTGCCTTCATAAAAGCAGGCATTTGTTATATACTTAGACACTAAAAGTTGATAGAACATCGTGATTGTGACACTTGCCATGCAGATAGTACTGCCATGCAATCCCTGCCATTATGGTGATGCTTGTGAGCTCTGTCAGGGCAAGCATCCATTATAATTGAAGACACTAAAAGTTGATGGAGCATCATTGTTACAAGAACATCTAGACACTTGGGCTCCTACCATTTTTCTCCTAATCCTCCTCGTATCAGCCCTCGCATCATACCCTTACCCCGACCTTACCCTGGTCATCCTTGTCATCCTCGCATTCCCTTTCGCCCTCTACCTGTCGCTTCAGCAGAGCCAGTACATCTGGCCGGATCCTTTCGTTGACGAAGCATACCCATGCTCCGTTCCACCACCTGACTGATCCTGTGGACAGCCTTGCCCTTACCGTCTGGACGGTAACCTATGATATGATGCACGACGCATCTCCTTTGGCCTTTTCCCTTTCCTGATCTCTGACTCAGTGCGCAGTCGCACATGCGACTTATAGATAGCTCCGCAGCTGCACGATCGTGCCCCTGTGCGTTTCACTTCTTATTTCGACCTTTGACTCACTTTCTTATCCAGCACGTTCTGCCTCGCCCGTGTCTCAACGCAAACGTGCTTTCCTTTTATGGTTATACCCTTTATTGATTGCCTCACTTGGTAGTACGAGTTATCATCCACTAATACGTCTCCTGTCCTCTATATAAACTCGCTACCATGTACTATATTCCCTAACTTGAATCTACTTGGTTCTTGACCTCCTACTCTCACCAGAGTGATCCTTTCTGCCTCGCCAGCAGTCTATATTCTATCTTCTTATCTGCTCTTCATGGATAAGCCTATAGTCTCGATCTTTACTCATCGACTTCGTCGATGAGCAAAGCCCCTGTTAACTAGTCGGACTTCTGTCCTTCTAATTAATGACGATCTTACGATTAACCTTCAGGTGTCATAAGCCTTGGCCGATTTAGCTTATCGTCTCGCACCCGCTTGACATAAGCTACCTGATTTGGACATAGGCGTCAAATCTTACTTGCCGAAGCCTCGCCAAGTAAGACCCCTAACCTTGGGCTAGCCCAAGGACGTCCTCGACCATTGACGACACACGCTCTGTTTGAGCGTCGCCAACAGATACCATCCAAGTCGTAACAATCATGATTGGAACACTTAACTTTCTTGCCATGCAGATACTCCTGCATAATCCCTGCCATTATGGTGATATTTGTGAATTCTGTCAGGGCAAGCATCCATTATAATTCAAGGGACTATGGCTAATAAATGGTCACAATTACAAGGCTAGGTATATGTTGGAAATTCAATATATTTAATGCCTCATCCTTACATAGATGGTGAGTCCTACCTTGTCTATCCTACCATGTAAGGCTTCACAATGTGACTTATCATTATTGTACTTATTATAGCAATTTTGCTTATTATAATTTTTTGTATACCAATATTATTTCGTGGTTGGATGTCTGATGGTACATAGAGAATCATGGTAAACTCAAACCGTCACACCTGTGAAATGTGAGGCAGACTGAGTCCGAGTTGGACCATTACATGAACTTCTGAATTATGTAAGTCCAACATGCAGAATCACAGTAGACTCAGACCATCACACCTGGGAAATGCGAGGCAGATTGAGCCCGAGTTGGACTGTTGCATGTGCACGAACTACATAAGTCCAAAATGTGTTTGACAATACATATAGACTGACAATTGAAGCTGTTGAGTGCATGTTGTGATGCCCAACCAGAACGAACCCACATGTCCATACCAATTCTTTATTTTGACTTGACTCTCAGCATTCTGAACTATTGAAGTAGCGCCACTGGAGGTTATCACACCTCACATTCTTCACCTTTGGAAGGCCCATCAGAATGATCGGCAGATTGTTCAGGAACTTCAAAAACATATTGACACAATGCACTATGGCATTGGGTGAGTGTTCCAGATCTCTAGTTATTGACATTTAACCTCACTGTACGCTAGCCTTACCTCATTTCTCAAGATTCAGAAAAATATGGGTCTTCAATGAACCCATCAACAGGGTCACACCATTGAGACCATTCATGATGCAGTGTCCGACCTACGTATTACTTATCCAAGTGCTGGGGCACGTGAAATGGTAAGCTTGCTATTTTATGAAAGGGAAATGAGCATGGCCAGGTGATATCTCTACCTTCATACTGTTACATGAATCACTGATATCTGAGTTTCACATCCTAGGAGGGTTGTAACGGAATACTTTGCTCTGTATGAGCCAGAACTCATCCACCAGCGTAAGGCCTGTCGCCTTAGAAGGAGACGCTTCTGGGCTGCAGGGGTGAATGACCTTTTCACAGTGGATCAGCATGATAAGTGGCTCAAGTTCGGTCTTGGGTTGCACACTGGCATCGAGCCTTTCTCTGGTCGGATCATGTGGATCTGGGTCTGGCACTCTAACCAAAATCCCCAGCTTATCCTGAGTTACTATCTTAACATGCTTGAGGCACTTGGCCGTAAGTATTTCTCATGTCATATCACTCACAGTACCTACTTAGTTTGACCCATGTTCTAGATATGCCAATGGTGACTCAAAGCAATCCAGGATCAGAAAATTACGGGATCGCAAATGCTCATACAATGCTGCGACAGTGGCACAATCCATCTTTGCATGGCACCCTCCAGCATCGCTGGATGCAAAGCAAAAAGAATGTCATGCCAGAAATTGCATGGTCTCAACTGTGCCGCTGATTCACACCAGGATTTGAGAGTCTTCTAGAGCATGGTGTCAATTCTGGCTGGTATGATTCTAATAATACTCTTCAAGTGTGCGCTACTTTTTCATGCTTGGTCTGAGTGCTGGATATGACATTGGCCTGCAGGATGGTCTTCCATTGGATTTTTATACCATGGCTTCAGCAGGAGCTGGATGCATATCAGGATTGTGTTCACAACACTGCAAAACAACATGACTGCAACAAAGTAGGTGTATTTACTCCCATCATTATCTTCGAGTCAGCTCATGCGCCATCCAGATTCTTCCTCATGGAGTACCTAATCTCATCTATGATTCATCTGAGGACTTCGGGGCCTTAGATTTCAAGGTATGTACTCGTGTTGAATTTACTGTTGGTAGTATTCTAATTGTGGCCCTACCATATTATAGATCAAAATTGAATGTGAGGCCCTAGATCATGTCCAAAATATTTACATCAAGCCCTCTCATTGCATGTTTGATCTAGTTCCAGAGGCTTTTGGCAGGTGCATCCAATGCTGCTATGATGAGCTTGGTCACCCAGTGGTCACATGGCAATCAGCTTGGAACATCTATCTACTTCTACTATGCACATTGCAGATGGCTGATGAACTACTGCACCAGATTCAGCTGCTGGATGATGATGAAGATGATGAAGATTTTGTACCACTTTTAGATGACTATCAAGATTTACCTTCTCACAAGGAGCCCAATGGCACCTATTACATGGGTGGTGTGGGTGGAGGATTAGGCCTTGGTTCGTTGTCTCTAATTCTGACAGGGTAAAATTTGTTGACTCAGACATTTGCCAGATACTGAACACCTTCATCAGCTAGACAGTCTGACAGACAATGACGAGCCCAACATCACACTGGGAATTGACGAAGACTTAGTGGGTCTTGATCATGCTGGTTTGGTGGTTTGGGAGTTCTCGGACTGTGAAAGTGAGGACGAAATGGTGAATGAGTGGTGATTTTTTCTTGTCATGTACATATAGTAATCTTGGAATTCATTAAACAAGGCGAGACGGAGGAACGTTCATCGCAGAGAAATTATTATTACTCAGAGCCAACTAATATCGGCGGTGTACGAAGTCCTACTGCCTATTATGGATGCGTGACGAGCGCGCACGTCCAGCTTTCCATATTGCCCAGCATAAGATGGCATCGGGAAATCACGAGATGACTTTTTACCCACTTATATGCAATAGCTTAGTGCAACTATTGGTAATTATTGGGTAATTATCAAAGTTAATTTTAGTCAAGTTAACACGGGAGATTTTCCTTGATGCGGCATGTCACACCTACGTAGGCTGAACGTTCGCGTTCTTACAGTAGTAGTAAGTATTACTGCTCACCCTTACCACCAGCTGTTGTGCTGAATCTTGCGAGTCCTTATGTACATGATCAAGAAGAGCTTTAGAGGATCGTTTTTCAGGTCTGGAATCCACGTTTGGAATAGGCTCTCTTTGTCATTACTACAGAACACTCGCTCAAATACTCGATCTCTCATCCCATTCTTCACTCATCACGAAATTGCAACCTAGGACAAACAGACATAGATATCCTATGCCGTGCAGGTAAGTCATGTGGCTGAGCGCTGAATCCTGGTAGCACAGTGACGTGCTTATACTCACGTTTTCAAATACGCACTCCATGGTGTCGTAGCAGCAATCAGATGTTACTCTGCAATATGTTATGCTACATTCTTCGGATGCTCTGACAAGCATAGATGCTGACAAAGAAATAACGATGGCAAGCCAGGAGGAGCGCATCTTGCGTACGAGGTGATATGGAATGTTCTGAGGAGGATTTCTCTGATAATGGGAGAACACTATAAGACGACGGCCAGTTTTTATATCTTGCGTTTAAATTTCCGGTCTCTTGTTCCGATCTCATTATTTTAACCTGCAGTGACTTTGCCCTGCCACTGGCTGCCAGGTGTCATTTCGTCACCATTTGAGGTTCAAACACATCTAATGATATTAAGGTTATAGCTAGTTTCCGGTGCGCCCGGCTGCTCTCACAAATCATTGTTCCGACATCAATGATAAATGATGTTAAGGAATGTGAAAATTTCCTAATGTTGTCCTCGTCATCACCACAGAACACTCGCTCGAATATCCGGTCTCCATCCCGATCTCGCACTCATCACGAACCCGCAATTTGCCTAGGTGACGCTGTACGTCAACGAGGTTGAAGCTAATCCCTCAACTTCTCAACCTCGTCGATGTGCGTCATCACGATTATGGTTTGAATTGGTAGCGGCGTGCCGTTCGAGCTGCCGGCTCAATTTTCAACCTTAGACGAGCAGACTAGAACAACTCTTGTAGCCTATGGCGTGCAGGTGAGTAACGCATTTTCTGTGCGAGGTGATGGGGAATCTTCTGAGGGGGATCCCGACTCATATTTCTGAGGATGGAACACTATAGCCTATAATATCCTGCGTATAGCCCTTCTCCATAACGATTTTATTTGGCCCTTTTTATTTCGTGACAGTTCGTGCAAAAGCTTCCGAAATAAAATGCAAATAAAATGAACAAGCACGTTCGGCACGCACATAGCGGTGCTTGAAATCGGCTAAGTAAGCGAGGCGCAGGGGTTTAAATTGTGCTCACCGGTGCAGGCGTCGTGGAAACAGGTTCACGCCACCATGGCAGATAGTTCCCCGCAGGGCATAACGTCTCTCGAAGCACTTTCCATTATCTTACCGGCGATGCAGAGACACCGGATGACCAATTATTTACAGCAACAATGGCACTGCAAGCACTCGACGCGAAACAACGAGGCTGTCATCATGCTTACGAAATAAAATGGCCATATAAAATCGTTATTGAGTAGGGCTATTGATTCGTGGTTACTTGAACTTGCAGTGACCCTGCCAGCGCATAGCGCTACCATGGTTCGATCCGTTTGTTTGGGTCAGTTCTCCATCACTCCTTAGATCAGTCTGAACCCATGTTGTCAATTGTCTTTTCCGAGTCGGCTCCAAAACATTTTCCTTCATCTAGTGCATTAGGAAGGTGTGTCGCGCTCACCGTTTGAAATTCCACAAGAGCCTCTTTGCCGGCTGTCCCCTACAGATTCACAACGCGGTCTGCAATATTTAAGACAGGGTTGAATGTCGTGCGGATAGGTTGTCGTCCAAGCAGGTGTGATAAGAACCGCTGCAGCTGGGGCTAGAGCTTAACAATGACCCGCTATGCTATGCAGGTGTTAGTTGACCCAGCGGCGTTGTGTTTAATCTATACCCCAGAGTCCGTCATTCAGGAGCGCTTCATCATGCGTTCAAGTTTGTCAAGGACATCAAGGATAGCCTGAGATTGTGAGAAATGGTTCTTCAATTACAAGAGTACGGTATTGTCACGCTGCCAACACAATAAATATTGGCACACTATGTAGAATGAATTCGTTTTTCTTACACTGTATGTAGCAGTCTGAATCGCCTTAAGTGTTCTTGAACACTACTCGTATTTATCGCTTAACACGGTAAGCCGGTTGCTTACGTATACCTGAGTTCCCATATTAATTATTGGATAATCAATGAACATTTCACTGGCCCTTTTGGCCCAATTTTGGCCTAAACGATCCATTAGCGTAACCGTCAAGGGGCGACAGTTTTGACTACTTACATCAACTCGCAGGTCTTTCATGGGGTCTCTCAATGCTCCATTCGTGGTCTTTGGATACGGCTCACTGATATTCAAAGTGAGGACAGACAGCCACGAAAGGTGTTACTAACTAATCAGTGCGATCACTGGTGGTATCATAGCCCCCACCACATGTCCAATCTCAGAGTAAGCGATCAATCCATTTCGCTTAGAAAATACGTTATGAATCTGGCTTTCTGTAGCCTCCGGATTCCTCAAAGGCTACATAAGGCGGTTCGCTCAGAAATCGCACGATCATCGTGGCACACCCGAGGTGTGTCCTGGCATTCATCAATCATCATACACTTCAGCGGAACTCCTGACATAGTATTGATCGTAAAATCGCAGAATCCAGGGCGTGTGGTGACTCTTATTCACAAGGAGGATTGGGATCGTTTTTCCCAGTCTGTGAGTCTGTCTCTTCAAGCTTATCCTCTAGGATATCCGCAAACACACTAGACACTAGGATGCATTTCCGGATGAAGATATCGTTTGGGGCGAGGGCTTTTCATCCGATGAAGATTCTCTTCTTGCTGATAATATCCCTCTCCACAGGCATAGCGTACACGATTGACCCGGAATATGAAGCAGAAGTTAGGGATTACTTGGGTGAGTCCAATATCACCCATGATGGTTCCGTCATAGTTCGTATTGACACTTGAGGTGCCCGGAAAGATTACAGAGAAAAGGTATGTCGCCCAACAGAACTGGGTATCCGACCATCCAAGGTAGCATAATGGACCAGGACGGATACACAATGGAAACGCTGCATGTCTACACCCTAGAGAATGGGATAGAGAAAATTGCAATTCAGGATGTATGTAATACACTTTACTTGTTTCACCTACCTGTCGTTGATCCCTTGACTCAGGCTTTTGTACGTGTTGTGTTTCTAATCGAGTTGTGCCGATCTCACGAGGAGCAAGTGTTATGTCGGTCGGCCAGATAACCCGTCATTCAGTGAGCATCCTACTTTCCTCTCTTGAATTCAATCTACTAACGATGAGATCAGTTGGTTCAGAACCATTAGAGGACTTGGCACAGCGGATATGGGCCTCCGAGGGTCCCTCTGGACAGAATAAGGTTCGTAAAGCTTTTTCTATCTCAGAACAAATTTGAGACTATCTCCCACAGGAATATATGTATCGTTTGGCGGAATCAGTTCATCAGCTTGCACCAGCATCATATGACTCGCACCTGTTTGCTCTTGAGGTAAGTCCGCGGGCGATTATCTGAACAGGTGAGCCATTGTTGATGTTTTCTTTGAAGAAACGACTACGAGAGCTCGACAAAACGGCAATTGACGAACAGTAGTCGGCCATTTTGTCGCTGGATATCACTAACTTGAGCGTGATGCGACTCATTTATCTACATACATACCTCAGATATATACTGGAATACAGCACATATATCCTACTCTATCGTTTTGTACCATAGCGATGAGTTGGCTTCAGTGATCGGTTTTGCATACAGACACGGAAACGGCACCCTCAGTCAGTCACCAGTAACCTTCTGAGAATAAGTTCTATAGTCTTGTTCACGCGGGTTGATGTCAACAATATCATAGGGTTGAATCTATAGTAGTTCATAATGGAGACATTCTGTGCCATCATCCCCCTCTGATTGCGCCATCTATCCGGAGCGGCTTCGCCGAGAGTGACATCTTTAGTAGCACTCGGAGTCCACACGTCCCCTGAATACCCCGCTGCGCAGCTTTGAAGTACCAGTTCAACAGACCAGCACATACTGATAAAACTATCCCAAGATACATTACTTAAGCTTTTGCAACTTGTTTCTAACAAGAAATAGTTCTTTAGAATAATAAATTTTCGAACTCAACACTGGATCTATTTCATGAGAGCAGAGGGCGGGATAGACACAGCTATCATCCCGCGAATGTGCGTGCCTATTTTGAAAAGGAAAAGACGAATACTCGATCGATTGAATACAAGATATAATTTTTCGATACAATGAAGCAAGCGACGAGTTAACATACCGAAACAAAGAGATTCGTCCGATAGCTACAACAAAGTCCGACAGCATACGATAGCGTACGCCCTGTGAATGAGGTTGTAAACATCATATTTTGGGGGACGGGCTGAGTATCGCGCCGTAGCGAGGATTCGGATAATTGGTCTCGGAAAGTGGAGTGGATGGTAGGAGAGGTGTCTCGCGCAACAGGGGTATCCGGTCGGAAGACGTCACTCGCGTTAAACTTCGCTCTCGCCCCTCTCGCTCCACAATCCTTAAAATATGACATATTAACAACAGGTGTGAGAAAGTTAGAAGGGAATACGAACCCTCGCATTATAGTAGCCGTAGTCATTCGCTTCGCACGTTTTTTACTCTGATTATCCTCGTATCGATCTGTTTCATCCACGATTTCTTCTGATATGATTTCCTGCAAAACTTTGTTAACTTTGGATATAAACTGGTCCAAGTCAGACGCACCTCAATGATGTCTTAAACATGAATGTCAGTAAGTAAGGGAACAGAGCTGTCTTGGAAAACACACCTTCGAGTGTGATCACTCCAATTCCACCGCCTGCAGTGCCAGGTGTCCGACTAATCAGTAGTAAGTGGGCGCGTCCCGTTTGACTGCAACACATTCATCAGAGCTGCAGAAGTTCAAGTGAAGGTTCTTACAAGTAATCCAGCGCCTGGAAACAATTTATACTTGGATGTGCTTCGGGAAGAATCGAAAGCTTGAAATCCGAGACTGGGAGAGCGCGCGCGGGGTCGTATACCAACAGCTGAGAAACAACCTCAACGTTTAGGCAGACTGACGCGTAACATCGAAAGTTACCTTTTTGATGAGCAGAAGCCCTTGGAATGATAGTGGATTCCCGGGTTCATGTATAGGAAAGCGTGAGTAGCCACTTGCGAGACTGAGTGAGCTGTTAGTCAAACTAACATCAGAAAACTGGAACTGTGATGTTTACATTGCGTCTACTGTGTTGTGATCAAGGATGGTGTCTGAGCTCAGCGTTACGACGTCCTACCGTCCCGAGACATATGAGTGACATACTCCCATATTTCCAATGCAACACTTACCTTGATGGTGTCATGATTGTCTCCACATTCTTCGTATTGAGCTCCAGCACGCCATTCAATATGCTGATCTCGTCATCCCGTAGCGGTTCCTCTCCCGTGCGATGGAACTGCAGAAAAGATTGAGCTCAGCCTTCTTGTACGTATGACCCTCATTCTGGCCTAGAACGTAATCGAGGAGCTTCGCAGTAGGGTATGCGATGGGAGCTATGTTCCATCCGGAGTTATTATGACTTCAACGCGATGTATGTCAGCACCACTTACCAAACAAATACATCAGGCAGAGCACGAAAGGCGCACATCGTGCGCCAATTGCGAGGCCATATCTGACGCTAACAGCCTGTGGAATAACTCTGCAGAAAATGATGAGGTCGACTGGATACTTCTACTTTGTGTGTCACGTACTCTCTGCGGAAGAGAAGACATGTCGTCTGCTCAGCAAGTCCAACTCCGAGAGGGGCGAGAACGTACCCAAAAATGACTATGATCAAAAAATTAGCGGACGATGAACTCACGGGCACATATAAGAGATCATACCTATCGCTGTGGTAGAAATTACGACAGCCGCAATGCCTCCACCAATCTATGTAGCGCGAATAGGATTTATTAATCGGCGAGAATCGTATCAATCGATGTTCAAGAATTCTGCTACTTACGGCACCATCAAGAAAGATCGGCAAACTTTCGTTGATGACCTGTGGGTGTTAAGCTATTACAGCACGGGGACCTGAGATAGCCACTCACAACGTTGCCCAGAAGAAGTACCTATGATGAAGGATAAGATATTTGTGGGTGCACGCGCGCGTATCAACATACCACTAATACCCAATGCCGACCTCTCTGCATCAGTCTCAATTACTGGTCGTGTACCAATTTCATCAACTCAGAAATGAGGGCTGCTTGGCAACGCACCTTTTTGCGCATTGCGTTTCTCCGTCAAGTCCTCTGATGACGTAGCCAGGACACGCAGGTGCAATTCATCCACCCCATCAGTCCGAGAGTTAAATCTATGACAAGAGTTTGAACATGACACAAAAGGACATAGACTGCATAGGCTCACCCTGCAAAATACACCTTCCGGCAAGCACAAGAACAGCACTGATGGCAAATCCTGCACCAGAACGGCATTGAATCCACTGGCTCTCCCTTAGGGGGCTCCACTGAGAGCAGCGAGCGGGGCGAAGAGTGATGATCATGGGCAGAAGAAACAACCAAATCCAAGGGAATTTTGAACGTAATAAAAGCAGAAATAGAAGTCTTGGCAAAACCTACTATTTGATTCGATCCGAGGTGGCCGGTGATAAGTACTAAATGACGCGAGTTGGTGACGGGTTGGAGAAAGTAAAGCTTAGTCACGTGTGGATTTCCTAGTTCGGAACGTAATTAGTAGCAATTTTATTTGAGACTAGCGGGCTTGGTATGAGTGTTGTTACTCTTGCGAACACCACCCACACCATTGCAAGGCTTATAGCTCGTTCGCATCGCGTGCGTCCACCGCAAACCTATGCTCCTGGTCTACTTTGTAACGTTCGAACCAGTTTTTTTTGCCAGTCCAAGACACTATCAGGTGCAATGTCTACCCGTGTGAGATCACCGACAATCGATCCCGAGGTTCCTGCCCCATTGGAGAAAAAGATTCGATTGGAGGAGCATACCATGGATGAGTCAAAAGGAGATACGAGTGTCCAAGTAGTATCTGGGCCTTCCAAGAAAGTGTCGAAATCAGCGAAGAGGAAACAGAAGCGTGTCTTGCCAGAGCCTTACTCCTCAGAAGATGTCCTATGGCGTGACATAGTCGCACTGCTAGGAGATGATACAGTCGATCGTGCTCTGCAACACGGCACCGAGTGGGATTCGCCTTTGATTTCCGTGAAGAGGTGGAGGTGGAGGTATCTGCATTATCTTCCAATGGTGCGGATAAGGACGTTCCCCGTCTGTCTATTGATTTTGACTAAGCCTTATATACACCAGGCGATGCGCTGGCACGTTCCCCTGCATCTTTTCCTCCTTGGGTAATCGTTGCACCATTTGCATTACCAGGGGAACGAATCCGTGTTCGAGTTTATCGCAGTTCGCGTCTACATTCATTTGCCGACCTTGTCGAAGTCCTATCACCGAACCTTGACCTGCGCGACGATGGCCGTGCGAAGTGTCGCTACTTTGGTCAATGTTCTGGTTGCCAGTATCAGGTTAGTTGCTTGATGATCATATCCGGGCGCTGACCATATGCAAATGTTAGATGCTTTCTTATGATACTCAACTCGGAATCAAGCGCAGCGTAGTCATCAAGGCTTATGAAAATTTCTCAAGTACACCTTTCCTTTTAATCTTTCTGATACCTTCACTCACGTGATCAGACCTTCCCAAGGAAACTATCCCAGAGGTACTTCCAACAATAGCCTCGCCACTTCAATACGGCTATCGTACAAAAATAACACCGCATTTTGAGGCCCCACCAAAAAAAGCACGCAAGGAAGCTGAAACTAGCTCGACCAATTCAACAGATAAGCCTACCTGGCTAAAAATCGGATTTAATGAAATCGGAAAGCGAACGGTGCTGGACATCGAGGTGACAATAATGAAATTTGTTTCGGTTTATACTTATCAGCTTCAGGAGTGTCCTATTGCAACTCCTGTGTTAAACGCAGCACTTGGACCTATACGGGAAGATATAATCAAGTATGTGAGCTGTATAGGAAACTCGACTACATCTGAATTTCTATCAGGAATATCTGGGGCTACAAAAAAGGTGTTTCGTTGCTTCTACGCGACTCCATCGAGCACCTGCCTTCCGATATATCATCTATCCCTAGTGCGGAGGACGAAAAACACATCTGTGTTACGAACCACAAGGAAACTGTCCGTGAACGCGTGGATTCTACGTATTTCGAGTTTCCGGGACATTCATTCTTCCAAAACAACAATTCCGTGCTTGTTCCACTCACCTCATACGTAAAAGACGCGATCTTCCCTTCTTCGAAATCGTCCGGGCCCACGCATCTTGTGGATGCATACTGCGGTTCAGGTCTCTTCTCACTGATGCTTGCGCCACATTTCGACATCGTCGCAGGCATCGAGCTTTCCACCGAGTCAATCAAGTCGGCTACTGCGAATGCTGTTATTAACCGCCTCCCGGAAGGGAAATGCTCTTTTCTGGCGGGTGACGCTGCGAACATATTCTCGACAGTTTCGCACTTCCCCCCAGACAAAACGGCGTTGATCATAGATCCTCCACGCAAGGGCTCTGATGAAGCATTCATAGAACAATTGGTTCGCTTCGCATGTAGCACCGTGGTATATGTGAGCTGCAATGTGCATACACAAGCGCGTGATATAGGGATGATTATAGATCGCATGGAGCGAGAAGGGGGTGGGAGGAAATATGTCCTGGAGAGTTTGAGGGGTTTTGATCTATTCCCACAGACTGCGCATGTTGAGAGCGTAGCGGTGTTAAGGTTGGTTTAGCTTTTACCAACATCCGTACATAATTCCATCAGGTTGGCATCTTTGACCGGACAGTCTGGACTGATCATGACGCTTTTACGTCGCTAGTCTTTGTTATTACGTGCAGAAGGTGAACATCCTAATCAAGTACTATCAGGTGCTGATGCTCAAGCGTGATAATAGACCTTATCAGACTCATGACCAGACTCACTTCGAGACGAGGCTTCGTTTGACGTATCTTCGTCGTGCCAGCCGATTAAAATTTCCTCGCATCTTATCAATTGTGCGAACTTCAGGACCCCGGCTGCTCCACATAATACGCGTTCGCAGATAACTAGAGAAAGTAGCCGCAGAGTGCTTCTGGAGCGTGGAATTTGCGACTCGTTTGAGTGTGCCAAAACGTCATGTTTTGGGTGGTAGAAGATTTGCGCCTGCATCAAAAAGGTAATTTCCATAAGCCGTACCATGTTTCTAACATCATGATACCCACCCACCGGCGTATATAGACAAAACCGTCGTTCCCAGCGAGCATTTCTTGTAAACCAAATAAGCACTCGTGGGCTGTGTAATGATAACCGGTGCCACTTACGAGCGCGTCAACACTCATAGTTGCCTTTCAGACGTGGCACAAGCCGATAAGTCGCGTAATAGTTGGGCAGAAGAGTCTATCACAGGAGGACCTTCCGATTCACCAGCATGTCAACGTTCAGATTGGGCTTGTAGTTTTGCTGGCGTATAGTGTTTTGGGGAGTAGGGGGTCTTGTCTTGAGTCGTCGATGCATTTGGAAGCGTGCCGATCCGATCCGATCATACCAAGACCTTTGTGGTGACGTTGATCGAGTCATTCTTGTCGATATTTATTATTTTCCTAGTCATGTCCGTGTACTTATAAAAACATGGGTCGAACTGATTCCGCATATTTTCCCTTTGGTCACAATAGCTATGGGTAACAGAACCAGCACATCGTATCAGGCCGGACGGCTGACTCTGCCAGTGCTGACCCAGCAAGCCCTGCTGCACTCGATGTAAGCGTCTCGCATGCTGAGCGTAGTCATGTATAACTCCAACATCGTTGCAGGCATCTAAGCTCAAATCACCCTCGCAAAGAAATTGAAGCCCCTGCAGCCCATCGAGACATTACGTTTCGGCCAGGTGAGCAAGTACCGCTGACAACCATATCCATGTCACTCTAATGATAATGTACCAGACGTTCGCGGACCACATGATCATTGCAACTTACGACCCAGAAATAGGGTGGTCCGCGCCTGAGTCAAGCCATATGGGCCCATAACACTTGATCCTCAATG